AATAGCGCACTATAAGTGAATTCACACTAGCCACGAGAAGAATTTCCGGCTAGTCCTACTCGACTAGACTAGCTATACCTGTATTGCGCTCACTTCACATGGCCTTGCTCTCTGCTCTAGTCTAGTTCGACGACTGCAGACTGCTCTGTGCGTCCGGGAGTCGAGACGTACTAGTGGACTTCGAGACGGGAGGACAAATACACTCGACTGGCCTGACGCGTTTACTGCAATACTTCACAGTACTTGCGTTTTTAGCTATGGGAACTCCCCCGCGCAGTACACTAAAACCGAATGTCTTCTTCCTCTGAGACTAACCGATATCTATCTTTTTAAAAATGGTCATGCTTAGCCGACGGCAGTCCCCCAGAGGTTTTTGTGGTGTCTGCTTACGTGTCGCTAGGCACGTGTCTTTCGGCCAAACACAAACGTTCCAACGTCACCAAAAATTTGCCTTTGTTTCCCCACCTAGTTTTTAAGACATTATTTTACATAAAGACATAACCTAAATTACACGAAATCTAGAAAGTGTACTCCCCGTCAAACAACCGACACGTAACACACATAATACACGCCTCAGCACTTAGGAAGACACAGGTACATCACATAATTCCTACAGACTCGGGTATAATTTGTCGAGACAAGTAAAGACGAGTCGACCCCCTTTGACTTCGGTATATAATTTGTGTAACCGTAGCCCTAATCGCATGGAGTCGACCTGTGCCGAAACGGCGCACGACCACACCTGGAGGTCGACTGAAGGAGACACGAGAGGACGTCGTCGAACGACAACAACAGACGGTCGAGAAGTTAGTCTGGCCCACATGAGTCTTGCGTCTACAAGTCGAGACGACTTAAGGATACCTCTTTTTTCGTAGTATTTACTATCTACACCTTTATCTATCTAACAAGCCTCCCACCTAACTACTTTGTGTGGCTCGTTTGGCCGTACATACACCGTAAAGTCGTAATTACATTGACACGCTATGCCTACCAAGAATTTTTCCACCCCATGCCATCAAAACCTCTCGGTCGAGCTCAACGCGACTCTTAAACTTTTATGTGTCGGCCCTTTTTTAGACGGTAACGGAATGTACTCGGGAGGAGGTTGTTGTGCTTGCGCGTGTACTGGTTATCTCGTGCTCTATTCAAACGACGTGCTACCTTCCGACTCCGTCCGTCCCCGGCAGGTCAATGAAATCGCACCTGGCCGACTTCTCCCTGAAAAATGTCGTGGTTGCCGAAGCGTGTCTACGTGTACCAAAAAATACCTAAAAAAGTTTCGTGAAGTTCTATAAAGTAACGATTAGCCCTACAATTGCTCGTAAGGTACCTTCCATACTTGTCTTTTCACATAGAGCTCGGCCAAGAGTTCTTGAATGATGGGGGAAATTCGCACTCGTTGTGTACGTCCTCTTTCTTACCTTTTACATTTAGGCCTTTGCTCGATATTTTAATTTCTTGTGTACCTTAAGTCGTTTATAACAAATGATTCTCTCGTCTCTCTTCTGTACATCCTTCGTACTGGGTCATCGTGCTATCTCCACTGTGTCAAGAACGAGAGGATGATGTACTAACCACGCCTCCGACTGACGCAGGGAGTCCTAACGGCACAGAGGAGCACGACGAACAGCTCACTAGACCTGAAAAGTCACACGACGCGCGCGGGCAGGTCCGATCTTTCTTGGTATCGTATATGTTCGTCCTTGAAGTCTCGTTATGTTGTAAAAGACTAAACAAAGTTAATAAGATTGTACAGTCCTAAAGAGGTTGTCAGAACATAATCAAATTAAGATTACAACAGATTACACTTTGACACGAATAATTATTTTGTTGTTGTACCCTTTCACACTACGAATACATTCTTAGACAAGGTGGAACTAAGACGTGCAGCTACTCTCGATGGAACACGGACGACACGAAACGGGGGATCGATACGAGGAGTTCAAGAGAAAGAGGTGCCGTACGTGCAACAATGGAGATGTCAGTGACAGTGCGAAGGTGAGCCACACAGAAGACAAAGGTGTTACTTCGGACGGCATGTGTGTCACATCTTTTTGTTTTATAATTCGAGAGGAGTGGACTCACAGATTTTCATTTAGATTAGTAGGTGCAACACCCCTTATTCAACTCTGTATTTAGCCTACTAATGTCGTCACTGTAGTACACTATATGCTCTCTCTCATCCTTCTGTACCTAGTTGACCTCACAGATTCGACTGTGAGTGAATTACAGGAACCGTCCTCCTGCGGTTGATGACACACTGTTCAACATCTTCAGAGTAGCGAGGAGATACTCAGACTTCTCTACGCCGACAACAGTCCGACTGACACCACTCTTGTATATATCGTGCGAATTGTTCATGTTCACCAGTCATCGACCAAGTCTGGCTATTTCTTGATTTCTCAGCTTTAACTGCTCATTTCTTCTTATTTTTTACAAAGCGAGCAGTTGGTGTAAACCATATGTTGAAGGTCAATGAGATACAATAGTGAAATAATTACAGATAGTGAACTCTTCCGTTCCCCGTAAGCCTAACATAACGGTACCCCCGTTGACAGTTCACTGTCTAGCACTGGCTTCGTAGTGCACTGATCGATTAGGCTAAGCTAACCTGTAGCTGCTCCCTCCACACTCACAACAACTTCATACAGACATAAATAAAGCAGCTGTATTCGCCATACAGGAAACACACATTTAAAACGGTTTTGCCTGCCGTTTTTGTACACAAGCATTCATCAACGGTTCGGAAAGTGGCGCTGTACCTTAATAATATAATGGCTTGTATTTGCGTGCATTTCCTATACGAAAACTGAGAGTGGAGAGGTGTCCTGAGATTAGCATGGACCTGTCAGCTCCGGACTGCGCAAAATGCGTACATGAAGCGCTACGTCATGAACGCAAGAAATCAACCGTCATGGGGGCGTGCTCATGTGATTGGCTTAGAATTGAGGAGACATCTGATTGGCTATAGATTGAAAAAATTACAAGTACGAATCGGCTGACCGTCAGGGGAGTCTCAAAAAACCCACACACGAATGCACAGCGATCCGTGCACAGAAAGCGGTTTGTGTTTGCAGGTTCAGGGGATTTAAACGGAAAACAAATATGTGAGGATCAAAAATACATATGTAAAACTTTTTTCTGTATTTGGATTTTATTTACATGTATATGAAACGGAACACATGTGTGTGTGCATTGAAAAGCACAAGTGTGAATCCTTCTGTGTGCATGCGTGTATTATGAGACTGTTCTGAGCCCATCGTTTAAAGCCCTGGGCCGTTCCGCACAGCTTCAAATCTGGTTGGTGGGTGTGGAAGCATTGCCGAGGAAATGGGAGGAGGTTGTAGTGGAAGTACTGGGGAGGGGGTGTGGGAAATATAACCTGGGTTGGAAGGATTGTGTTGGTTTGGGAAGCAGGAATGTTAGAAGCTTTGTGCTGTGTATGAATAACGCTTTCCTGTGAGACACCCAGATCAGCCTTTCCTGTCTTTTCATTGAACTGTCCACGATCAAAGATGGAAAATATTGTCGCTGGCTCTATACACAAGAATCTCAGCAAATAACTGGAGAGTTGAGATGTTCTTTATTGTGCAGACTTAATACAAATCAATTAAAAATGCTTAGGATACACTACACAGTTTGCAAGATCCCGAGTTGTGTTTGAATTCTTGAGTCAACAAAAGGCTTGTTGAAGGTAGTAGGAAGCCATAGACTCAGTAAAGATATTAACACTGAGATCAAAAGGATGTTATTTGTTAGTTTACCTTTTAGTGTGGCAGTACAAGACTTGTTTTCTATTCAAATGTTTGGTACAATTCAGTTAAGTAGATGTATCTCTCCATCTCCAGGCTCAGCTGCAGGATGCGAAGAGAAGCTGGGAAGAACTGCAGAAATTCCTCCACAATGTCAACACTGAGAGGGAGAAGCTCCAGGCCTCAAACCAAGGTGATGCATCCTGTTGCATTTGAGATGAAATCCTTTGTAGTTTTCTGAATACATTAAAGAGAAATCATTAGGTTACATTCAGCAACTGATGGTCGGTGTGTGTGTGTGTGGGCGCAGATCTGCACAGCCAGCTGGTTGCAGTGGAGACGGAGATGAACAACAAGAACAAGGAGATCCAGACCATACACAGCAGCCTGAATGAAGCCATGGTGTCCAAGGAGCGGCTGGAGCAGAGAGTAATGGAGCTGATGGAGATGTCACAGCACAGCATGCCTGATGAGGTGCTGCAAGGCCGGGTTCAGGTGAGCCTCCACAACATCTAAGACGAGGCACTTTAGAACTCTGAAGTGTTGATTCTATATTTAGATGAAGCAGAGCAACCCACACTTCTTGTCAACTAATACAGACTGTGTTTAACAGGACCTTATTAATGAAAACCAAGGTCTTCAGCTCCAGAGCGAGACCCTGCAAGTCCAGAATGAGGCCCTGCAGGCCCAGATGTCTACACAGGTAAACGGGTCAACGTCATTCAGTTTTTAAGTCAGAAAAAGAGATGCAGCCTGCGCTACAGTATGAATTTAGGCTAATGTGTCATTTCTTTCTCATGTAGGTCACCCATGTCTCTCACTTTGACGAGCTACAGAAGCTGTAAGAAACACTTTGACCTTTTCAAACATATAGAACAGTTATTCCTTTTGAAGCTGTTTCTCATGCACTCTTCCTGCTGTTCCCCTCAGATTGGCTGAGAAGGAGTTGCAGAGAAAGAGTCTGGAGGATTCTCTAAATGCCGAGAGGAGCGGTGGGGCCACTAGAGAAACCAGTATGCAGGTAAAGCCGCTTTATCTACAGCTTCCTATACGAACATTGCATCGGTTCATTCGTCTGCTGGAATTTGGTTAACATGTTCTCGGCCTATGGAGAGGGGATATGGATTGAAGACCATATACAACGCCCTGCTGGAATGAACAGTTCACATCCGCACATGCCGAACAGATATCATTTACTCCACAGTTTTATAACCCTTTGACAGAGTTATGATTATGTCTGTCAGATCCTGTCATGTCTCAGTGAAATATGTTTTGTTGTTTTCCTCTGTAGGCCTTGCACAATGATAACATGTCCATGAAGGCAGAGGTTCAGAATCTGCAGAATCTGATTTCTGATCAGGTTAGACATGTACCTTGACTGTTTTTCCAATAATTAAAAGGCCCCAATGTGCTTGTGTTCTTCTCTTTAACACACCCTCTTTAATCTGTCTCTCCCCATGTAGACTGCCTCCCAAATAGCCTTGGACCAGTTCCAGATGAGGTGTGTATGAAACATATTTTGAACAAGTCAGTTGGTTAAACGTGTTGGGCTAGACGTGTCACTTTTATAATAAGTTCTAAAGAACAACCTGATGACCTTGTCAAACATTGCTTCCCACCCAGTGTTCGGGAAAAGGAAGACAACATGAAAACTGTGGAGGACCTGCTGGAGAAGGGGCTGATCGAGGTGGCCAACAAGGAGGAGGAGCTCAAGGTGTTTTCTCTTTTGCTGCCTCACACACTCTCTTACTGACATCAGCAGGCTTTCAGTGACTCTGCATTTCCCTGTTTGCTTTGTAATCACAATCCCTAATGGGGGGGAAAGGAAGATCTTTAAGTCATTTCTCTCCCTGATGCAGGCTGTAAGAGAGGAAAACAAGGGACTAAAACAGGAAATGGAAGAATTAAAGACAATGGTAGCGGAACAGGTGAGATCTCTAAAATCTTTACGTAAAGAAGTTGCTGTGTTTTTCACACCTCATTCTGTATTTTTTCAATTGTATATTTCTCTCATCACAGGCACCATCAGAGTCAATGATGGAAGATCTCCAGAGCATGTAAGATCACTCAAGTTGACTTTGGTGTTTTGTGATCACCCAGCCCTTTCCGCTACACACTAATGGCGCATTTCCACTACAGCACGGTTTAAGCGTGCCGTGCCAAACCCGGCCCGTTTTTGGTTGCGTTTCCACTAGGGGTAGTACCGGCTCTCCAAAATCCATGTTCTTTCTGGGCCAACAACCGGGCTGAATATGCTAAACTAGTGAGAGAATCGCTGGCAAGGGGGCTACAACAAAATGAACACATTTCACCGTGATTTAATTGTAATACACGTTTCAAAATGATGCCGAAGTAACAACATACTGATACCGGTTAGTAAAAACCATGAATTAATGCTTTGACAAGTCTGCAGACAGACGGCAGGTGAAAAACCTTTTTAAAATGCGTGTTTTCTGAATGGAAATCGGCTAAGCTAACGTTGTATATGCTTATGCTCCAACCGTCCAAACTCGCAACAACGGCCTACGGACAAAACTATACCAATGACTGTATTCGCCATGACACAGACACTCTGGGGTTTGTACTTGTTTAACTTCTGTCTAGTTTCTGAACAGATAGCACTCAAGCTCACAGCTCCTCCTAACAGCTAATGGCTGATGTTGGTTATCTGTGGTTCGCATTGAAGATGACGTCACGGTTCCGCCTACACTGCGTTACTATTGTTACTGCCCCAGCTACTAAACTGTAATGGAAACGCAGCGTAAAGTGAGCCTGGCCTAACTATACCGTACTAAGCCGTGCGAGGCCCTGCAGTGGAAATGCGCCATAAAGACACACTGACCAACATTGACTTTAGTGTCCTTAACACCAGACAATAGATGAAGAACAGCTGGTGTCGGTCATAATGTCATGCTATTTGCCCAAGGCTAATACTTGATCAAACTCATTCCCCCTGGCCACTCCCTTGACACACCCCTGATTGTAATTATCCACTGTCACGAGAGGCTGTGTATTCTTTAATGTCCTTTCTTCCCAGATACCTTCTCTCTGTGTGACGTCAAACTGTTTTAGTCTGACCAACCTTTGGTTCAATATGCTTTATAGGATCCAGGAGAAGGATGTGAAGCTAAAGTCAGTGGAGGAGAGTCTACAGACGGCACAGGAGAGCAGCTCTACCAGAGAGAAGGCGGTAGAGGTGTGGGCTTTTCTCTTCTAATAATATACTAGATTTGCACATTTCACATAGTCTTCATGATATTGTTAATGTTGTCCAGTCCTACTTTGAGCTCTTATCTAAATACATGTTGTCTCTCAGGCTCTGGAGCAGCAGTTGGCTGCCTTGCAGACAGAGATGGAGCAGCTGAGACAGAAGGAGACAACACAAGTGTCCAGTTCTGATGCCGAGCTCCAAAAACTCCAAGCTCAGTAGGTTAACCCCTCTCCCCCCCCCCCACCTTAACATGAAGTTGTTCAGCGCTTCCTTTACATGTGAGTCTAACGAGCAGCACATCTGACCCACAGACTGGCAGCAAAGGACCAAGAGATCCAGATGCTGCAGGCTGAGATGAAGGCGAGGACAAAGGCAGTGAGTGAGCAGGTGGAGCAGATGCAGCAACAGGTGAGGAACACCGCAAAGGAATTCTGTGCAAGTGTGAAATGTGTTTTGGATTAAATCAGCAAGATTCCTCTAGCTAGACAATTTTAATTGGACAACAAATGAATTTGGATGAAAGAGCTCTTCTGACTTTGGTTCATGTTTGAATTTGTCTTAAATGTTCTTTTTTCTTTTCCCCTCCTCAAATAGCAGTCGCAGGCAGCAGTGCCAAGCAAAGAGCTTCTATCAGCGTAAGTCATGTTGCATTCCATATGATGTATCAGAACACATACATTTTCCACATGTTTTCATTTCAAAGGCCCCTAACTATATAATGATTCACAATGAGTTGTTATGTTGTTGTCTGTCAGGTTGTCAGAGAAGGACAAGCAGGTCTCAGATCTGCAGGCTGAGCTGGCCGAGCTGAGAGACTCCGTGGAGCTTCACAGGAAGAAGAACAACGTAGGTTTCCCACAGCGATTACCTGAACTGTATTACACCAGTATCTGGTCCAGCCCTATGAGACATCATCCCCCTCCCCTTGTGTGGTACCCTAAACACTCCCCTCACACTGGAGTCACACACTGCCCTGCATACATCCATACTTCCTGTTGTCCACCGCCATTTAGTCTCGCTTGTTTTGCTTCTTCTTTTTTATACCAAATGGAAAGCAAACACCACCTTCAGCTGAGGTTGTGTTCTAAACATAATGCACATCAGCACAGATGTCTATCTTGATTTGAATAGCTAAAGCTCAGTGTTGCATAACAGGGCTCCCAGCCTACTCCTGATATGCTGCCATTGGCCTTCGCTATTCCGGCAAAGCTTGTCTGTGCTTGTGGGTGATTCAGACTGTTAGAGACTCGCCTACCTTTTTATTCTTTAAAGTTGAATTTAATTGAAAATCAGGATTTTTTTTTTCCTTCATTGTTGTATCTACTATATATATTATTTCCTCCGTTAAATTACTCACAGAATATTGTTACAATGCACATCTTGCACACTATGCATGTTGCTGTGACCCACACGTGGTGTGAGACTGGGATTCTCGAGGCTAGTTGTTCATACTTATTTTTAGCCGTTGGAGCATGGGTGATAAGCAGAGTGTAGGAATGTAAAAATGAGAAATGCGTTCGGTTTTTTGTATCACTCTACCAGTCTTCATGTTCGGGTCACTGAATGCATTTCCTGGGGCTGAACTGAAAGTAGTATTTCTCTGGAACTGACCAAAACAGGAGCTTCGGGAGAAAAACTGGAGTGCTATGGAAGCTCTGTCAGCCACCGAATCCATACTTCAAGGGAAACTCAGCAAAGCTGTCAAGGTTCGACACCCCCCTCCCCCCCTCAGTCTGCTTCACTCTAGTTCCAATCTGATGCATCCCCCTCTAAAAATGCTGTTTTTTGCCATAATCGACCCAGTGAGATTTCTTTTTTCGCCCATCCATTACAAAGCTGCATACTCATTTACCTACCTCTTGCCCCTCGCCTCTTTTGTTTGGCCTCAATTGGCTCAATGCTGAACTCTGCTACTCCCCGGGAGAATCTTTGACTTAATTAACTCAACACATATTTTTGCTTGAAGATCTGAAATATAAATATATAAAGAATTTTCCTGGCTGATGCTTGGAAATGAGTGTGCAGTGACCTAGACATTATTTCATTAGATGTCATTGGATTGATATCATTGTAATCATTTCGGCCGCTTCCTGTCTTTCCGTCATGTCACTCATTTCTAGCATGTTTTCCGTTTTGTGACATCCGTGCTGTCAATACCAGTTAATCAGTCAATGAAAATCTGTTTAATTCACTGCCATTTAAATGCCAAAGGGATCACTCGAAACGTTTGATGTGGCCTTATGTTTCAATATGCTCTCAACTCGCGACTGAAAGACTTTTGTAACTAAATCCACCGTGTAGGTCATGTATCTGGAGATCCCTCAGTGAAGACATAGAGTGGGTTACCAGATAGCCTGTCTATTAGCAGTTGCAGTGAACGTATATCTGTGCCCTCCTTGTCGCCTACATTAAGAAAGCGTAAATGCTGAACAGTCAGCACGCAGCTGCTCTTCTGCCATCCGAGTACAGTAGAAAGCACCTCCTCAGAGCCGGGCCAGGGAGTTCCTTGGCAGCTGTTGTGTACTGTCATAAAACACTGGTTGTATTAAACTTGTCTCAGAGCTGCCCTGTGACGCAGTGTGGTAATGTGAATGGTTGTGAGAGTGCCAGCCTCAGAGTGACAGTGCAGGAGGCCAGATTATTGTCGAAGGACTGCATTTCCTTTTACGTATTTAAGAGTTTCAAGGTACATGAAAGAAGGTTGATGTGTTGGTGCTTGCAGAAGGTGTGAAGCATGTGATCTGCTCTGAATGGGAGGCTGCTGACACTTGGTGTAGGATGGGCCTTTTGAAAGATGCTGATGTTTTCTCTCAGGGTAATTGGAAGTAGGAGTGAGACAGCGTTTATCCTAATGCTTTAAAATTACAGTTTAAGATCATGTTAAGTGAGTAATTCCTGTGACATTGATTGGAGCCCCATGATGGATGGCTTTTCAAATTAAATCTTAATTTAATCAGGCAGTCGACTTGAGACCAAGCTTTATTTTCCAACCGAGTACAAGAAACACTCTTGAATGCAGTTGGCAAAACTGAAACTACACAATTACACTATAAAAAGGAAACCGGCAGATAATAAAGCTTCAAGATCTCAAGGGGAATGTGAGACACTATAGGTGTATAGCAACTGAAACCACTTATTCCCACATGTGTGTGTACATGAGGGATATCAGAGGTCAAACAGTAACTACATTGTACCTGGTAGTTACTTGATTTATGAAAGAAGTGGTTGGAAGTAGGTTGGCAGCTTTAATATATTTGTATACATAAAAAAGGCTGGTTGATATATTGTTCTTTAGTGTAAGGAGGTTCATGAAACAATGAGTATGAAATGTGTCATTTATGAAATGGCATAATGCACTATGATAAACGAGGTTTATCAGCAGAAGCGTTGATTATGAGGGGTTTAAAGAAAAATCATGGTGTGAATGAAAAAGCAGAAAGGTGGTGGTCATCTGCCCTGAGGACGCCTGGACTTTGTCTTCGAATCGACTGAACTATTTGAACTTTGGGTGCTCAATCTCCTCTCCTCTGTTTTTATTCTTTTTCCTCTTTGCCCCCTCCCATCGCCTTTTAGGAGAACCAGACAGCACTGGAAATGTGTCAGGCCGAGTGTCGAGATGTTCTGCAGAGACTTCTGCCCCACGTGCCTCTGCCCAGTGAGCAGGTAACAGGATATTTATCACCATGGAAATTGTATTCGATTACCCGTCTTACACAGTTGTACTTCTCCTGTGTATAGATATCCCTTGTTTATCTTTCTCTTCCTGTCTTCTAGAACCACCAAGAGTGGCTTCACACATTTGAGGGGGCAGTAGCTGAAAGCTCAGCTGCACTATCCACCCCTGCATCAGGGGACTCTGAGGTAAATCAAGTGGAAGTGTAAAGGTTAATGTCTTTCCTCAAACTGAAGATATCTTAAGCAACTTCCCTCTCAACAGAGAGCGGCTGAGAAGCTGAAGGAAGCGGAGGAAGCACAGAAGATCCTACAGAAAGACTGCGAGACGTACAAGAAGGTGTTGGCAGAGACGGTGAGATGAGCTTTTAAAATGTGTGCTTTTATGGTGGTCTCTCGTTCCAAACTGAGCTGTCATTCCTGCTGCGTCCACAGGAGGGCATCCTGCAGCGCCTGCAGAACAGCGTGGAGCAGGAGGAGTCCCGCTGGAAGGTGAAGCTGGAGGCATCTCAGGGAGAGCTCAAAGAGGTGTGTGTTCAAGTAACAACTCCCAGATAGCACAACAGATCACCGAGCAGATAGAGTACTGCGTGCCTGTTCCATTGTATAACTCTTCTGTGTCTTTTTTAAATGTTTTAGATGAACCAGAAAGTCACACTTATGGATCAGGAGATTGAGAGACTAACTGAAGGGGCCGAGTTGGAAAATGTAAGTCTTCCTTAAAACGCTCATTTCAAACTTACACTGTTGTTCAGATCACCAGCCATGTTACATTCTGGTTTGTTTCTGTCCTCACTATCTTTGAACCTCTCTTTCCCCTGCAGCTTAGGAGAGAAAAGCAGCACTTGGAGTCTGAGCTGGAGAGGGCAGAGCAGGAGAGCGCCACCTATGTAACAGAGGTCAGAGAGGTGAGCACATACCTCTCCGTTTGGATCCCTAAATCCTGTCGTAGCAGCATCATCATCCTCCTGTGACAAAAACATGAGTTGGTTTTTGTCACTTTTATGTTCATTTCCTGTTTTGGATGTTTGTTATTTTCTGTTTATTGGAGGCAAATGCACACAGACACTGAAAGCACACATGCTCCACACTGTTAGTAATCTAGCAATTAGTCTACCAAAGCCTGATTTACACCACCTAGCAGACTAACTTAATAGACTGCTCTGGGTCAATTTCAGTCAAGCACACCACGACCCTGTGCTTCATTCACCCCTACATGGCTCTGTTAAATAGCGTTCCCTTTCTGTGCTCATGGCCTGATTAGCTCACTGAGTAGATTGTCCTGGACCGACTCCCACACACTCCCATTAAACGTCATCTCAAACTCAATTTCAGCTCAAAGATCTGTTGACTGAATTGCAGACCAGACTTGATGGCTCATATACAGAGGCGTTCAGACAGAATGAGGAGCTGAATTTGGTAAGCGGTGTTCACCCTCTAGCTAGCGCTCCTTTTAAAGCCTTTCCCTTATTCCACTCGGCAGTGGCTCTGCACTGCTACAGGACTGGGATCTCTCTATTCTGCTACTGGGGGTCATCATCTGTAACCTCAAACTTTACATTCAAAAACATTTCTGTGTTTTTGAGATTGAGGGTGATGACTCTCCTTCACACTTTGAGAGACTAACCCTCCCTGCTTTACACTGGCACCTTATCTCATGCCTGTTCAGGCTACTAACTGCAGCTTGCCTTCCTTCTGCAGAGTCCCCAAACAACACTTAATTTTGTGCATCTTCAGCTGAAATCTTAACATATTACACTCTTCGGCCTTCTCACAATACTTGTCTGTCTGATTGTCTGTCTATTAGCCTTTGTCGTGCCATAGTGTCACTAAACGTATGTCTGTGATCTCCATTAAGAGTTAGTCGATTTTTGACAGTTCATTTGCATGTCAAAAATGAGACTTGAACACAAAAACAACAAGCATTTAAGTTTTGCTCCAATGCATCTCTATATTTTCTGGAAACAATGCATTTAACCTTTGGCTTTGCAAAGTGCAAATGCTTGGTTATAATTGTTATGTAAATATAATTCTAATACGGTTTAAGTTATGTATTACTCATTTATAGCATATACAGTTATTCAATTAAATAATCATTAGATTACCATAAATAACTGTTAGTTGTAGTGCCACTGTGCAAATGTTGAGAACCGTAATGAACGCATTTTATGTTAGCAGGAGGCTCTGAAATAATGCCTTTTGTGTAAGTCCAATGCTAGATTTAAATGGGATTCCCAGGTGATAACAGAAAGCTATAATGTGCTTTAAAACATGTGCTGAGTGTCTGTTTTTATTCCAGCTGAAAACCCAGCTCACTGAGACTCTGTCCAAGCTGGAGACAGAAGAGAGCGAGAGGCAAAAAGTGGCAGGTGACCTGTACACGGTAAGAATACTCGTCATTATTTCACTACCCTGCTGCAACGAGTCCAACTCCAGGCCGCATTGTTAACAAGTGTAACTTCCTGGTCCCTAATGTAGGCCCAGCAGTCTCTTGATCTGATCCAGGGGGAGCTCTCCAAGGTGACGGAAAACGCTGATGGCCTGATAGAGAATAGCAGTCTCTCGTCACAAACCGTAAGAGCCTGGAGCAGTTTGGGTGTTTAAACAGATTCTGGTGTAAGTGTTTTTATGTATGGTGACTAAGTGGATACGTTGAGCTTAAACCAGTCATTCTGTCTGATAGGAAGAGATTGACAGAAAGGAGAAAATGACTGCAGGACTAAACCAAACAGTTAGAGAGCTGCAGCAGCTGCTACAAGGCGTCAGCAGGAAACTCACCAAGAGAGAGGAAGAGGTAAGGACTGCTGCTCTGCTCATTTTAGTATCATTCTTTCAAATTGCAGCGGTGTGTTTGAATGTGGAGACTGAGCATTGTGCATTTGTGTTTCTCTTCAGGAGGCTGACAAAGGTCTGCCCAAGGTATAGTGAGAGGACGACAGACCCCCCCCCCCCGCAGCCACCCTGACTGCACAACAAAGACCACCTTTGCCCTTCGGTCTTATCACTTACACCGTCACACCATACTGTAGCACCCAGCCACCCCCCTTTCACCCAACCTCCGTCACCCCACCTGTACTGTAGGCGAGCCTCCATCTGACTCTGGCAGAGGCGCTGGCAAACCCTCCCCCCCCCAGTCTCACTGCGGGGGGGCAGGCAGAGCTTTCTTTACTCCAAACACTCCAGACACTGTACCAAAACAAACTACTCCACTCCCACCACATTCCTGTTTTGCAGCAGCATCGCCAGTTAATTTTTATTCTAAACTTTAAGATGACACCCAGCCTAATTTAAACTGCGTGGCAACCATTCCTCTGTTTGAAACGCCTGTATTTTTCAATGAAATCCCTTTTTGAATACTGCAGTAGTTTTTGTTGTTATTTGTCTAGGGGTGGCAGTGATACAAATGTCCAGCTTAACGGAACAAACTTTGGGTTTTCAGTACTTTTTTTCTTAACTTAAAAGATATGTATTGTTTAAATGTTCAAGTTAGGACCTGCTGAAATACATGTTGATCTGTTTGCCTCCTGACCAGAAAACTATCAAACTGTGCATCATCGTGCGTTCATAAATTCATAGCTCCATGCATACCATGGCTTACTATTGGGTGGGAGAAGGGAGATCATAAGGGGTCTGGGCATATCAGAAGGGTCACTACGTGATTTTTAACTAAGGAGATGCATGGATATATTACATGTAGTCTGTACTGCAGCTCCAGAGAAGGCTGTGGAAAGAGAAGGCCAGGTCAACAGTGTAGAGGTTTTTAATCCTTCTCCAACTACTTTAGGAATAAGCGTCTCATATCATCTGTAATCAACACTCGCTATATTGTTGCTAAGTTCATTAACACTGAAGATTTCTGTTCTTTTTGTAACAGGCGATGATAATAAAAGGGATGCTTGATAAATCTGTCCAGCGTACATCTTTTTCTTCCAGCGCACTTCTTTCTCCCCACCACTGTGGGGCAGCATGCTACCTTAGTTAATATTTCAAACTGTGATGACTTGTAGCCTTGAAAAAACAGAAATTACAAAATCTTCTAAATTCCCTGTACATTTTAATCATGTTTGTGATGATGTAGTGATGCTATTTCAGGTAAGTGGACTGTATTAGCGCAGAGTAGGTGACACACCTTGCTGCCTAGATCAGGGGTTCCCAAACTTTTCAGCCCGCGACCCCCTGTCGATGATCTAACATTTTGGGGTGTGACCAGTTTCCCGTGAAGGAAACGTACGGTATAATCCTTCAGAAGAGGAAACTGTTTTCTCAGCTCCTGCCTGAGTTGTACAAAAATATTCCAACAGTTACAAGATGTGAAAGTAAGTAAAAATGAAATAGCTTACCAATAACCTCTGTTAGTCTGCTTCGGTCACTTGTTGATGCTATGAGTGGTTGAGTGTGAAAGTATGTCGCAAAACAAGATGTGCTTGGGGTGTGTTTTTCCTTTTTAACATTTCTTTGCACACTTTCTATTTTTAATACAAGGATTAATACAGGTTCTGTGTGACTGGACCTCACTCTGGGTATCTGCACAGAAAGCTCTTGCTTTCATCTTCTGCATGTTAAAAGACCTTTTTAAAACGAACGTTGTGCCGGCTGAGGGGGAGATCGGTCAGGGGTGCGAGGGGTCAGGGGTGCGAGCAACATGGGATCAGCACATTCCTCACATTCTCCCACACTGTCTGTCATGCTGCAGTCAGCTGATTGGAGATCTGGCGTTCACCCTCATGGAAACCTCGCGAAGAGACAGGAATTACTGTATCTTCAACATGTTTGTCATTCGATAACACAAGTACCTTTCATAACGTGTTGCTGGAGGCTGCTGTTATATGTACACAGTCCTCTAACTTATTTACCGTCATGAGTTTAAATACCTTGATCCCTATGAATGAAATAAACAAGCTGTTTGCAATACATCTCATTGTATGATGATCTCTAAAACTGAAAAATTGATGATGTTCTACAGTTCTGTCACTTTTATCCTTTATAATGTGCCTCACAGTTCTTGGAAAAGCCTGTCATAGACAATAAAGGATTAAAAATGGTATTGAAAAAGAGCAATACATTTGCCCGAGGTTACACTTTGTCAGGTACTTACTAATAGCCCCATGACTTCCATTGAAGGTCTGACATATGAAGCCTGCCAAAGAGCAGTGAGGAACTTAATAGGGGCTTTATCTTTCCTATGTCATCATTGCACACACTTGATCTCAATTGCGCAATTTAGCTTGTTGCGGTAGGCCTCTGCTTTGCATGCTTCTTGCCTGGTAACGTTAAACTCCTCCTCCTAAACATAGATTTGCACTCACACTATGGCAGCACAACTACAGCAGAGCAGCAAACTCCCTGCATCTGCTCTCCATCAGTGTGGTATGTGCTAGAGAGCCTTTGATCTCCCCCCCCCAAAAAAAATCTGTGCGCGCATACGGGAGGGTGAGTCAGTCAGACACAGAAAAGACTAGTGCTCGTTTACACAGACAATGCCAAATGGATGAAAGCAAGCGGAGAGAGACAGTGGCACAAAAGAGCAGTAAACATTCATTATACCCACAGCTTTAAGTTCAGCCCCTAGGCCTACAGTTAAAGGCCTAATGCAGCTTGAGCCTTTGCACAACTGCTGAAGGAGCTGAACTCCACTCCTCTGTACTATTAATGGACAAGTATGTGCAGCTATGAACGGAACCAACAAATGCCACGGATTAATCTGTGTTGTACTGCTCACAAATTGGATAACACATTAATGCATCTTATAGTATTAAAGAGTTTAAGTAAATAAGGGTGGGGATGAAAGTAACTTCGTGGACCCAAGAAAATCCCTACTACCTTTTGTTTTTGTGTTATGGCACTTTGAAACTGAACACCAGTTCAAACAGAAGGCCATAATTGCAATGGGAGCACCGAAGGGGCCTGAAGCAGTGAGGGCGCCTCCAGCCATGAAGGTTCTTGTGAAAACAAGACAGAGGCAGTCAAATGTTGATGAGACGGCCAGACAAAAGTGAAGAAGAGAAAGCCGTGAGAACAACTGGACATGTGAGATACTGGAAGGTTGAGAGGTCTTTTGACAAACGCGCATAAGGTAGACCTTTGGTTACATTAGACAGTCTGAGTTATTCTCAGAAGGAGCAATTATGCAAATTACTATGTGTTATTATTAGATTGATTTGCATCTCCTCACACGGAGCTTGGTGAATACAGAAATGAGATTTTACGGAAAGAAATAAGCATATACCTGTGGGCTTGCAACCGACAAAAGGAAATATGAGAATGGTAAGCCGGGCAACACAATTAAACTATCAGAATGAGAAATGGCAATATGAAATTAAAACTTCCGGGCATGCAGACAAACAGCGATGTCATTAGGTTTCAAAAAACCTTTCATGCATTAGCCAACTGCAATAAAGCCATAATCAAATACAGTTTTTCAAAGGGCCCATGTGGTCACCAATAAAATAAGCAAACCTGATTTTACAATCCTTTGACTCCCTGCATGTTATCTCTGTCAGGAAATGTACCAGGATGGTTATTTTTACCATGTGTTTCCTTCTATTACTGCTCCACCTTCTGCAGGCTCCCTTAGGCCTGTGTAACTATAACAAAAAACATTAATGTCAAATACAATTGTGTGAACCTTGCAACCTCTGTGCTGAAAAGGAGTGAGTCATATCCTGCCAATATTTAAAGCAGGTTATGACAAACGGTGTGTTAGCCCTTTTTCTCGTAAGATATGGTAAACTGGAAACTGCAAACATTTCAGGAAAAGTATGATCCCTTTAAGAATTCCCAAATTGTACTCTTTGTTTACATAACACAGGGTGCGACCCATAGACCATTTGAGGTGTTAAAAGTAGGGGGGGGGTTTACTCTAAAATCAATAACGTTATTTAACGAACAATAGATTAAACGCAAAGTACTTCTATTTTGTCTTCTATATATATTGTATAACTTTAAAAACCAAAATAGGGTCAAAAACATAATTCTAAATAAACATTTGTAATGGAGCCCCCCCTACACAAAGTAAAGAACAAGCGAATGGTACATCCCGGCCCTGCTGCTCGCTGTTTTTGTATCGGCTTCAGAGCGGATTCGACCGCCAAGTAAGTTACATTTTGCCATGTCACGCTAAAGAAGTTTGAGACAGTTTATTTATAGAAAAGTGGATTGGCGTGGGCACAGAGACATATGCCGCTGGATATATGATCTGAAATGAGAGCCTGTCGTGTTTTTTGAAGGTATTTCCCGGTGATTTCTGAGCCGCTGTTATTACTGTATAGCTAATGTAACACAGTGAAGCCAGTAGCCTCATGTTTTCGTCAAGCCAAGAGGAGCACTGCGCCCCGTCCAAAGACCCGGTGAAATACGGGGAGCTGGTGGTCCTGGGGTAAGTTGTGCTTTTTCTTGTATACATTCTTGTGTTACTTTACTTTATAAGACTCCTCTACGTTAACGTAAAGGCGATTATGTGGCTTGAGGAAGTTTCACAACAGGGCACTCGCGTAGGTAACTGAGCGTAGCGACGTGATTTTTTTTAAATAAGGTGTGACCTTAAGACATTTCCTTTTATTTTTAAACAGACATTGACTTTACACAGCGAACTCTCAAAATATACTCAGGGAAAGACGCCAAGCCCAGTTTATATTTACGGGCTCACGTTACTCAGCTAATCAGACACGTGCGCAATCAGAAATGTGTACATTTTGGTTCCACCGAACCGTGTCGGTGGCGATGTTACATTCTCTAAAATAAACAACAGCCTGGGTACATTTTAACCAGGCTTTGTCCACCAAATAGATGCGTTCAGCACAACTTTACAAACCCAGGTGAAACGAAGCCCACACTCAGCTACTCTGAGCTGCTACTTCTACCTTAAAGTTGGATTCATGTGGTTCAGGAATTCGGAAGTAGTGATGGTCCCCTCCCCCAGCCCCCTAGGTTCTTCCTATTTTCTAAACTATCTGTAGCTCAGACCGCAAGACTTTACATCTTCAAGAAACACCCACTGTGGTCACAAGGCCCTGAGTTGTATTATTCACAAGATGCTACAATTGACCTTTAGATCATTGTGTCGTTCAATAGTTTGAAAGCACATACCTTGCTTTCCCCAAAACAAAGTGGATGACTTACATTGAGTAATGTCTGCTGTCCACATGGTCAGGTAGAGGGCCTGTAGCCAGGCTTTGGAGCACAACTGCCAACATCAGCTATAAGTGGGGGATGAAGATAAACACCTTATCATGCTGCACTTTTAAATCACAATCTGGTCATTATAATGGGAAAAAATGGATACTGTTAACACTAATTCTAAACATTTAGAACTCCCATTTTTACTAATAAAGGACTTATCATCAAAGACGATCATCAAAATAGTTGCTGATTAATCTATTCTTAACTCTTCATCAGCTAAATTACTTTTTGTCAACGGTGCTTGTTTGCATCAAATGCCTACTCAGATCTTGTTTTTTACAAGATAGATCCTGACTTAAGTGCCCATTTAGACTACTTCATTAAGGCACAGTTCTTAGATTGTGTTTGGACCCTTTTTTAAGAGTCATTTGACATTTGGTAAGTTTTTAAACAGCCTTTGAAGAAAACCACAAGGGTGAACAAGGGTTCAAAACTGTTGCCACCGATAGATACTGAAACTATGATGTTGGCAGGTAATAAAAAACCAAACAATATGCCTCAATGGTCTGTTGATGTTAAAAAAGAAAGGCTGTTATAGTGGCATTAGTTAGACGTGTCTCATCCTGCCACTGAGTACAAACTGGCGTGCCTCTTTCTTTGTTTATATCAACTACTACTGTTTTTTTATGATTTGTTCAGGAGACACCGCAGATACTTATCACCATGAACAATCATGTTTATATTGATAAACTGTCAAGGGCAAACGGTTGCTTGCCACAGATTATGGAAAACACCTGCTGTGTCATCAGTGATTAGAGTTTGGCCCGTATTGTAACTGATTTAACATAAGCACTTTGACTGTTTGTGCTAACGAAATGACATGTGTGTAGCATTTGCTTGAAGCATTTGAAATGAGATGCTTATAAATAAAGGGTATATATGCAGAGTGTGGTTGTGTCCCTGGCCCTCCACCCATACACTCACAGACATACTGCTTATTAGAAGGGACCAAAAGTGCTGACTGCTTATTACCCCGGGCTTAACATGTGGCACGTTTGAAGCTGATACTTTTGTTCTCTCTCCTGACATAAAGACACATATTTGAATCAGATGTGACGGGTGTATAATCACTGCCATGACATCACATCCCACTGATAAAACTGATGGTAGACAAGATAGCTGACAGCATGGAACAAAGCGTGTTTGAGCAGCAGTTCTCTCAGTGGTTTGTTGCCATGACCGTGGTGGCTCTTATTACTTGCATGGCTGCCCCCCATCTTTGCCTGGGTGGATTGGCTTGGTGCTGGTCAGTGGGGGGGGGGGAGTAGCTGCGTGGGTATCCTGGAAATGAAAGGATGGATTGATTAGGACCCAGCCCTTGCCTCTCCTCAGCCTCCTCTGTCCATTGTGGCAGGGAGACTGGGCCTATTGATTGAACTTTGTACATTTCCCCCTAAAGAACCGGTCCGTAAAGGAAGTGCACAAATCAACTTGCAGACATCTTTGGTACAAACTGGCACTGATCGTTCGGAGGATGCTACACAGATTCATCCAAGAAGAAAACTTATCCTAAGGCGGACATGTATTCTGTTGTTAATGGGAAATGTATATTATGTTAAATAAACGTTATTTAACATAAACTTCAATACTGTGCACAAGCCTATGGGAGCATTTTGGGGTACGCTGCAACATGTTGACTGCAGGGAACAATAACAACATGATTGCAGATAAATTATCAGCTAATAATACAAGCCACATTTTATTAAATACAAGCACGCTGACTAGACTAAGTCAGACTAAACATCATGTCACCGATGTGGACTTTTCACAGATATACATTTGCATTACAAGTTTTTAGATGTACTTTATTTGAAAAAATAAATGAACAAACAAGAGCCAGTACTCGTTTTGTTTTTGACAATAGTGATGTCAGTTAGATTTGGTTAGGTCGTAGTGATCGAGTTTAAAGTCATCTGTCTTTGTTCACTACTTGCTAGCCTTTTTTTAATGCATGAACTACAGTTTATGCCCATATTTTAAAGCTATAAACGTATACAATTATTGGTTATCTTATTACCAGGCCCGCTATGAAAAGCAGAAATGTATTGGTATCGGCTGAAAAAAGCCATACTGAGCATCCCTAGTTATCCTTTTGCGTTCCTCAGCTCCACAACAAGGTCAGCGTGCTGGTGGAGCTGGTCTGGTGTCAGTGTCTGGTGCAAGGTTATATCAGTCAGATGGATACTTGAGGCCATGGCAGCTTAAATCTGAGTCAGTTGACTGATGCTCTTCCCTCTCACTGTGCCATCTGGCTGCCTCCCATGTAGCGTTGATGTACTTGTACAGTTTGACCTAACCGGAGCACTACTAGCCTGTAGTTGATTTGCAGCATCATCTAACCTCGGTGCCATCTTCTATGACCCTTTAAGACCACCCTGCCTCTGTGTCATGCTAATGAGGGTTTAACCACTCCGCATATCCCCTCCTCATTCTGCGAACACTAGCCTTTTATGTTAGCACAAGAGGAAGGAGATGCTGTTGGCTCCTTTAGTGCAACCCCGAGGAAAGGTGGTGATTCGCCAGCGTCTTCTAATCCCTTCTCCTAAGTATTGGAAGGTAAATCCACTGTCTGTCTCGCACAGGTCCGAAGAAAAAGAGCTTTGAAAAGCCTGTCCTTCACTAATGTGGTAGTTCCTATAGTGACAGAATATTTCCTCAAAGTAAAGGTGAATAAAAGAAGCCGTGGGTTGTTCTTCTCAAAGAGTTAGAAAGCAGTAAGAATTGATCATTAGAAAATGCAAAGATGCATATATTGGTTTTGTTTATATGTGAGACACCAAGGCACAGGTAACCAGCCGATAGCCCTCAAGTCCACTTAGTAGAACTCTGATCCAAATATTAGTCTAGCTGCTTTTTATTTAGGTGGGACATTTTCTAGGACAGTTCAAAGGAAATGAGAGTAGAGTCAGAACACTGTTAAATTAGCTTCTAACTTTATCAATGAGAGAGCATCAGCATTTCTGCTCCATAAGGATTTTATTTAGGATCACATAGGACCATAAAAACACATAAAGAACTGATCTGCTTTCTCCCCTGTAGCTTGGTCCAAGAGTGAATAACACCACTATTAGACAATAATCAACATTCGAGCTAAACGCTGAAGAGTCTTTGCAAAAGCGAACAATCTAAACATATTTAAATACTGATACATTTACTTATCCACTATTATTCCAGTGTATTAGTTTCAGTTTGTCCACAGTATCAGACAGGGCCTCTCGAGCTCTCTGTGGGTGGCTTGTCCTGCAAGCCAACTCTGTGCACTGTGCTGACTGGGACCATGTGTTTCCATGCCTGGCCAGCCGTGAGGAGACATGAGACAGGTGGAGAAGCTTTGGACGGAGGTAGGGAGAAGCAGGAAGGAGCTCTTGTTGCTACTGTTGAATTTGTGTTGCTGCAAAAAGGAGAAATATCTGAATGATGCTTTAGTAGTCGTACAATTTCCCTCCCTCTTGATATGCACTGCTATGCAAACTTGAGGCCTATAATAGCTTTATATCCATTGTACAGTGTCTGTTCGCACACTGTGGTTAGGGTGTGTGACAGAAGGTGTGTGTTGGATGGCAGTAGAGCATGGGGTGTCCCAGCTGTAGGAACCAGCTGGTGGATGGGGAGAGGGACGGCCCTACCGGAAGGGGCTTCTCCATTCACAAGGAGCTGCCATGCTAGGTGTCTGAGGGGCTGATATTGAGGAGGGAAAAGAGAAATAACAACTTCTAGGGATGCTGGGGGTTTTTAAATGTTGATGTTCTCTATAAGTGTTTAAATTCCAGATATAAAAGACCGTAATGCTTTCATGAGAGCCAGTTATTCACCCAGACTGTGCGTTCCCAGACCTGACGTGCATTTTAAAAGATGCTCTCGCCTGGGACACGGCGCAAAAGAACAGCTGCAGTTTACACAGAGCTGGCTCACCGAAATCACAAGCACCAGAGTGCATTATGTAATAAGAGACACTATCCAAGGTAACGCTTAGATTGCTAATAGGGTACATTAGATTGCCAGTGATGTAATGCATGTCAAAGCTACATGAATGTTTCTTGTTATATGACTACAAGACATTTAACCTATAAATCTCATTGGATTCAACTTTTTTTATATATGCATTTGTAACTGTTTTGCTAATTTGCTGTCCTCCCCCCCCCACACAGGTACAATGGCTCTCTGCCCAATGGAGATCGGGGTAGACGGAAAAGCAGATTTGCGCTATACAGGAGGACCAAAGCCAACGGTGTTAAGCCGAGCACCGTGCACATCCTCAACACACCCCAGGCAAGCAAGGTACCCAAACAGATCACAGGATGAATAAGTGGTTGTACTGAACAGACTCTCAGTCAGAATGAACACTTATCCACTTGTCTTTTGTTGCTTATTTTAGGACAAAATGTAAAAGCATGTGAATAACTAACAGAGAGGGGAATGAGTAATCGGGTCAATGTACTTAGACACATTGGGATTGAAGGTAGAAGAATCACAGCTGAAGGAACATTTTGAAAAACACTTTCTGTTTGAGCAGCAGAATGTTTTCTCAGTGCTTTTCAGTAGCTTATGGGACGCGCGGTGAACTCCTTTACATTATTGTTGGCAGACCTTAATGTTGACATTTCCAGTACAATCACTGTAGTTCCTAAGCGGGCCTCATAGCTCTTTCTATGCACCACAGTGCCTGCCAGAAACTGCCCCCTCCAGTATAACACGTCTGCATTCCTGCCGTTGGTTCCCAAGCAAAAGTGCTAAACAAGCCGGAGGACTTGCTTACCTCGGCACATCTTGAAGCCCAATATTGTAGACAATTGTTGGGAGTTTAGCTCTCTGGCTGAAGGCCCTGTGGTTCGGGTTACTCTCACCTTGTGGAACATGACTCCAGATAGCTATTTTTCTGTGACGGAGGCTTTTTCCTCGCAGGGATTCATCATTTCAACTGACTTTGAGTTGATTGTTGTGCTGCAGCGGGTGATCAAATGTGGCTTGACATTTCTTTCTCACGTTTTTTCCTCAGACAGTTTGCTCTGAAAACCATGTTTCCTTGGATCGGATTGTTTTTAGCTGCACGGCTCAACTGAGCAAATGTGCCCTTTGCACAATTAGTCACACACTGTTTCAGAGACATGAGCTGCTGTGACCTTCTTCTTCCCCTTCCTCCACCGTTCCTCTCTGCCACCCTGTTACCAGGCCGGGGATTAGGAGGGTGAGCTGAGGAGGAAGTTGTTCCCTGACCCTGCACTCGCAGCTGCACACACGGTCAAATATAGCCCTTCCCAGACAAGCAGGGTGGTGAGGTTAATTCGAGGAGAGCTTTCTTTTTAAGTTGGCAGTAAATTGATCCAAGCCATCTCCTGTTTTTCTAAAAATCTTTCTACAGCAGTCCCCCAACGGCTCCCTCTGTGTGTCTCATGCGTTTGAGCTGAGTATGCTCTGTTACTCAGAGAGGGAAATCTCACGTGTCTGTGCACACTCTGGTGTTCATGACAGATAATGAGGAGCTCCCATGATGCCACTGCCAGCCTCCTATACAAACCCTGCGCCTGCTTTCACACTTGCTCATTTAATCTCAATCACTGCATTTGTGCAGTAGTGATTGTTTACTTTGGCAATCCTTTTAGGGCCGGATAGCCTGTTGCTGGGTTGTTTATGTCTCCTTCAACTGAGGGAGGGTGTGTGTGACTTTAGGGGGGGGGGGGTGCGTGGTGTTTATAAAAATATATGTTTTGGAACGTGCAGGAACTCCTTTTAGCCGTGGAACAGGTGGAGCCCCATTTGTTTGTAGCGGCGCTGTGGAGACGAGACGGCATGTGATGATGACATTTGTCCCCGTCTGTCTCTGATGTTTCAGCAGAGTGTGGCAGCGCTGGTGACCCACTTTCTCTCTCCCTGTCGCACGTGACAAAGGCGGGGGTTGTTTGGGAAATGGTATTCGCAGATTAGAGCGCGATGATAGTGGCATGTGGTGAAGTGTCGATGGGAGAGGGGTCTGACTTTAACCCACCCTGCCTCTGCCTACTGTTTGTGGATTTTAGCTCGGCTTTTAACACACTGCAGCCTCACATCTTGCTTCAAAAACGGATTCAGTATGAATCCTTTTATCTTGAAATGGTATTTCTCGTTTTTAACCAATCGCACTCAGCACGTCAGGGTCAACAATGCCCTCTCAGAGCCCCGGAGCATCAGTACAGGAGCCCCCCAGGGTTGTGTGAGCTCCCCGGTCCTCTTCACACTGTGCACAAACGACTGTACGAGAATCCACCCGGAGAACTATATCATCGAATTCTCAGATGATACAGCCATCCTTGGCTTAATGCACAAAGGCAGCAGTTCACCGGCTTATCACTCTGAAATAGAGAGATTTGTGCAGTGGTGTGATTTTAATCATCTTGTGCTGAACTTGAAGAAGACTGAGGAGATGGTGTGGGACCCAAAGGCAGTGGGGGACCTTAGGCCGGTGGTTATCCATCACAATGAACCCATAACTCAGGTCAGCTCCTATAAGTACCTTGGTGTCCATCTAGAATCTAGATAATACACTCAGCTGGAAGGCGCATGTTCAAGGTTTGTGCTCTAGACTTCAACAGCGGTTGTACTTTCTGCGTCGACTCCGGGCTTTCGGAGTCGACCAGAAGTTCATGTTACTGTTCTATCACGCAGTGTTGGAGAGCATCATGAGGTATGGTATCACTGCCTGGTATGGTAACTTGACAGTGCAGTCAAAGTCACAGATCGCTCGCCTGGTACAGACTGCTGTGAAAATGATGGGGGTTAAAAAACACCCATCTCTCCAAAACATATACGAGCAGTCCATTATCAGACAGGCAAACAAAATTGTGTCTGATTCCACCCACATACTCCACCCAGAATTCCAGCTACTACCTTCTGGTAGAAGATTTAGGGTTCCCAAGAGCAGGCTGAACCGCTATAAGCACTCATCATTCCTACCTATGTCCATTAAGCTTCTTAACATTCACATGAAATGAAATGTAGTCAAATGTAATGAAATGTTCTTTTTAAATGTTGGCCTTTAGTATGTGCGTCTGTGTATTGAGTTTGTTCAAACGGTGTATGACTGATGATATGTGTATGTATTTTAATGTCTACTATGTTTGTATATGTACATGTATGCGGAACTGCAGGCCGGAGTCCAGAACAAATGTCCTTACTGGGACAATAAAGTATATCGTATCGTATGCCTCACTGCTCGGACTGAGGCAGCTCAGCTGGTAGCCAGGCTTGTGTGAACTGAGGCCAGTGGGCGCTTTATGGTCACTGTCATGGGAGTGTGACTTTACACGCTCTTCCCTTTTTCTCTACCAGAAATTCCTGGCACACAGCATGTCATATAATGAGGAAGTATTCTTGCTTAAATGTCATCTGTGAGAAATCTCAATTTTAATTAAAAAGCTAAGACACTTTTGTTGTTGTTGTTAAAAGGAAATAAATCTATAGTTGTTCTAAGACTTAGGGTGTGACTCATCAATTGAGTGCATTTTAATAGTGGGGTTTGTTTGCCTGCTCTGTAATTGAACCTCAGCAGTGATTGCAGAAGGCATATGGCAGTGCCTCTCCTTTGGCACTCTCATATCCGGTGTTAAAGCCACAAACCAAGACATCAAAGGGTTCACTAAAACAAAACAAAATAAATAAATAATGACATAAATATGTTGTTTGGCTTCTTATTCAATTGTTGAGATATGCATTTGTCGTGTTTTTTAATATGGTATCCCAATGAGTAGCATGTAATAAATTCCTTGTTATATTGCAGGCTGTGAACTGTAAAGGCCAACACAGCATCTCCTACACGCTGTCCAGGAACCACACGGTAGTGGTGGAGTACTGCCACGACAAAGACACCGACATGTTTCAGGTACACACCCCTCATATAATACTGTTAACTGTTTGGATTGTATTTTTAAAAACCTGTCCTTTTGCTTTAGGGCTGGAACTAAGGATTACTTTCATTATTGAGCGATTAGATTATTTCCCAGAGCCAAAGGGGAAGTATTCAGATTGCTTTTCTTATATGACTAGCTTTGTTTTATTTTCACATTACAAACTCAAACATCAAAATGTAATACGAATTATAACAAATAAAAGCTTTACATTGATTTGAGAAGCTGAGATACATTTCTTCTTTAGAATTATCTCCACAATGATTTATGAAAATAGTTACAGTATGTTGTAATCAGGAGTCTAAAGTCTAATTAAATAAGAGCATTTGCAGCTAAGCCTTTTAAAATCTGTGCACATTTGGTGGTTTTTCCCATCACACTCCACCAGTGAGTTCAGTGTCCTGATTGTGTAATGTCAACAGCAAGGAAAAGATGACCAGAGGGAAGTCAGCACTGCAGACACGTGCTTCACATCAGCCCTATACTGTGTCCATGTTTCTATGAGCAACACTGAATAATTATAAACACTTCAGAAAAGGGGAAATTCATTTAAAAAACAGGACTTCAGGATCATTTTTAAGATGAAAAAAAACCAAGAGGAAATGAAAGCTTGAAGTGCTCCTCTGTCTAGCTTGGGAAGTTTCTGGAGAATGTTAAGTGTTGACCTCTTTGGTCTGCTTAAAAATAGGCCTGAATAAAAAATAAAAGAAGCTTGGAATTTTTCCACAGATCTACTGATATATCAAAAATATGCTGCTATGTAAAACTTTGGTTAAAATTCTGAGACACGACCACATTTGGTTTCCCAAACACAGCAATGTGATCCCGTGCAGCATCAAACTGCCACAACATGACAAATGACTTGCCAGGAAGTCAAAACAGTTCAAGGAAAAGGAAACCCCTTTTCATCATGCCACTATAGTTACAAGAAATCCAAAGCATGATATTGAATGAATTATGTGTTTCTGCGTAGATTGGGCGATCCACTGAGAGCCCCATAGACTTCGTGGTGACTGACACAGTAGCAGGCGGCCAGGAGGGAGAGGAGACCCCCATCACTCAGAGCACCATCTCACGCTTTGCCTGCAGAGTGGTCTGCGAGCGCGTCCCACCTTTCACCGCCCGCATTTACGCTGCTGGTTTTGATTCTTCCAAAAACATCTTCCTTGGGGTAAGTACTACTCAGTACTACTCATAGACATGAAGTATTAAACACATTTGGCAGTGTTGTGTAACAATCACTTTGCATGTGTACTCTGTCTCTTCTACAGGAAAAAGCTGCAAAATGGAAGAACCCCGATGGTCACATGGACGGACTGACAACCAATGGCGTGCTTGTAATGCACCCCAAGGGTGGTTTCACAGAGGAGTCCAAGCCTGGCGTGTGGAGAGAGATCTCTGTTTGTGGGGACGTCTATACGCTGAGAGAGACCCGCTCGGCACAGACTCCAGGCAAACTGGTCAGTAGCTGCATACATACAGCAGAAGGGCCACTGTGACCTTAATCAAGCACATGTTTTTAAATAGAAAATGACTGATGGTATCGCTGCTTAGTGAAACTGAACGTCTGCTTCGTCCCCCTCTGCAGGTGGAGCATGAGAGCAACATCCTGCAGGACGGCTCCCTGGTGGATCTCTGCGGAGCCACTCTGCTGTGGCGTACTGCAGAAGGCCTCTTTCACACTCCCACCCAAAAGCACCTGGAGGCCCTCAGGCAGGAGATCAACGCGGGGCGCCCCCAGTGCCCCGTGGGTCTGAACACCCTCGCCTTCCCCAGCATGCAACGCAGCCGCGCCCTCTCCTCTCTGGAGGAGAAGCAGCCCTGGGTCTACTTATCTTGCGGCCACGTGCACGGCTACCACAACTGGGGCCACCGCTCGGAACAGGATGCCAACGCTCAGCGAGAGTGTCCCATGTGCCGGATGGTCGGGCCCTACGTGCCGCTGTGGCTGGGCTGCGAGCCGGCCTTCTACGTGGACACAGGGGCCCCCACCCACGCCTTCGTGCCATGCGGACACGTGTGTTCTGAGAAATCAGTGAAATACTGGGCGGAGATCCCGCTGCCCCACGGCACCCACGCCTTCCACGCCGCCTGCCCCTTCTGTGCCACCCAGCTCGGCCTCACTAAGGGCTTCGCCAAGCTAATCTTCCAGGGCCCGGTGGACTGAGCCCGAGGGTCCTGCTCCGGTAGAGAAGATTAGACAGGAATGCCAACATGCTGTGAAACTGTTGAAATGATTTTGTGCTTTCTTTGGTTCATGTAAGCCAGCTGCGGAAAGTAGTAAGTCTTCTGGTCATATACTGTGGATTCTTTACAACAGAGAGCCGTTACAGATTGTTCAGGGCCACTGTGACATACAGGGACGTGGACCACGCGTGGCTCCTCCAGGACTGAATACGATTTCACCTGAGACTGCTTTAAAGACGATTGTTTTACACTATTATCACTGCTGGTTTCCATCGGATGGCCTTTAAATAAGGTAGAAGGAACAGCAGACGGACACTGATAACATATTCTAGTTCAATTCCTTGTGGGTCTGAGTTATTAGAGAGCCAGACAGCTGGACTGTTGGCTGGGAGAAAAGCTGAGAGAATCTTTGAGTATAATGGCGATCTGGTTCAGCGCTCCCCTTCGCCCTGCCGGCCCTGACCCCTTAGCGGCATCTCCATCTCGTAGCTCTCTTGGCTTCCATCTGCTGAACTTTGAGGAGGCGGGGGGAAATACTTTTTGTGTACAGAGATATAATCCAGTGCCTCAAATCCCATCAAACCGTGGGAATATTTTTCATAAAGGAGAAGAGATATTTTGTTGAAGGCAAAGGGAGAGATAGTTTTTTGCATACATAGGGAAGAGACAGCCCACATGGATTCTTTTTATGACAGAAGAGCTATTTTACTACACTGAGGCCCTTGTACTGTTTTGTAATGCAAATGTTAATATATTTTTCTCCTGCATAAATGGTGTGTGTGTGTGTGTGTGTGTGTGTGCGTGTGCCTGCGTGTGTGACTGTATGTGTGGGTGCCCTGCATCATTTCACCCCAATCCCCTTTTTATGATCTCGCCCACCCCCCAAAACACCACCAGAGAGAAAACAGGAGTCAAACCCACCTTGAAGGGTTTGATAATGAATGTAGTGAGATACATTGCCTCTCCTCACTGGTGGTGCTTCAATAATACAACTTGCTTTCTTTATGGCTGTGCTTTTAAAGGTATAGCTAAGGCCTATTTGACAACAAACTACCACATGCATCCACCTAGCTTGTTGGCTAGCCGTGTCCATGCCCCACACACATGTACTGTATTCAATCTGCACTGTTGTTAGCTTTATCCCACGCTGGGTCTGATCCAATGATTTGTACGCTGTCAAACCTGGGCACAGTCTCAGCAGCATTCAGAGATTATACCAAATATAAGGAGATGTTTTTTTGTCTCCAAACGCAAGATGTAACGACCACTCTTCTCAGATCCAAAGTGTTTCTGTAAACAGTCCTAAACCCAAACTGCTGCTATCGTGGAGTGTTGACAGCTCTGGATTACAGTGGAGGCTGTTCAGCTGCTCGCAAACCAGCAGAATAATGATATTATCGCACACCATGCCAACATTGATGAGTTCTATTGTGTGTGGATCAAAAAAGTAGCCGGTGAATTGAAAGTAAAGAATCTGGGACAAATCTGCATTATTCTGCTATGTTAGCTTACCAGACTGCCTATATGTAGAGTGTAGCTGAATGCATTAAGTCTAACTCTAGTTTAACAAATACAATATTGAGCATTAAATCTATGAGTTGATCGTAACACTTTTATTATAGCATTCAAATGTGTTTTGGATGTAATATGAATCCAGTCCGATTAAGGGCTCACTTACTAAGAGAAACATACCTAGCATTCTTAAAAACATCAGCAGCATTACGCTTCTTGCATACCACATTTGTGAATTTAGATTTTATGTAACTGCCGAGCAGGGTCAAGTACTAAGCCACATATTGTACAGTTGCATTCCTCTCCAACACTTTCAGCTCTAACACTGTGCCCATTGCTTAAGACCGTGTTCTGTAACAGCTGCAGAGTAGCTGCCTCAAACATTCCTCCTCGGTAAACATGGGTGGGGCCCTCAGTTCACCCAAGGGCTTGTTCTATGATTCTGTCTCATACAGGAACTCTGTACACAAGCCATAGAACGCACTGATGCTCCCAATGCCTCCTTTGCAAAGAATAAAATATTTTTTAAAAAGAGCTTAAAGTGAGTTGGTCGTCTCTGATTTTAGCCCTTCTTTAATTTTTTCATGTGGTTGTGATATTGATTTAGTGGTTTTAAAAGGTAGTACAGTTGATGCTATTTATTGCCTTTGATGTCTTTGGTCTTTGCTGTGTACGTACAAAATGGCAGCAATGTTTAATCACAGTTACACATGTGTTTCATCACTCCTTACTATGAGCATTTATTTCCCTGCTATCTTGGCTGCCAAAAAGTCCCTGGATTTTGATATCTCTATCAAACAAAGCGTTTGTGAGATAGGGAACACATTTCCAAGTCTATATTATTCACATGTCATGTATCTCTTATCAGCATCATCTTAATATTTCCCACAGAAAATCACTGCATGAGCAACATTCCCTGGGGTTTGGAGCGGAGTGTAGTCTTCCTCTGAAGCCAGAAGAGGGCACTATTTCCTCAATAATAAAGAGGTTGGCACGAAGCCCACCACACCACTGAGCCTGTCGCATTAAAAAGCCAATAACACAGAGCAAAGGAATGGGAGTTTGATGTTTATTATGAAAAAGACTCAGTATAAATACATTTGAAACAAGAGGAATTGTATTGAACTAAATTTGCATGCCCTGAAAATCCTCTGTGTGCAATTACGCTACCACAGGAGATATGTAGACTGTATATTTATAGTAGGACATTTAATGATTAATCTTTAACATTCCATGTGCTTTTGTTTTTATATGTTTTTCTTAAATTAATTATACAGCTCTTAGATTTATTCCGGATTTAAATCCTGGCATCACACGCAAGACATGTCTGACAAATATGCACAGGGGGCACAGGCATTTTTTTGAGCTTTTATTTTTATGTGCATGCAAAAATATTGTATGATGATGACATTTTCCATAATTCGCATGTGACTTCATCTCCTCTATAATAAGGGCACATGAAAGGGATTTAAATACATAACATGTCAGTTAGGCGTTTGGAGAGGCATGGAGCTGTGGGATGCCATGCTTCCTAATTAACATTCCTGCAGTAGATGTGAGATGGGTTCAGATGTCTGCACACTTGCCTGTTTTTCTGAATGACAGAAGAGACACTGAAGGTGACAGCATATTCATTTTGAGATCGTTCGGTGGCTCCCCTGCCTTAAGCAGGGCAGGGTTATGCGAATAAAGAGGAATGATACCATTTCTTTCTTGGACCAGCTTCCTGCATGAGACAGTAAGGTTCATGTGTTGTACTCACGCTGCGACTGGAATAGATTGACACAAACCTCAGGACTTCTAGCATCACCTTTTTAAAACTAATTAACTCCTGACACTTTTCACAGCCACACAACTCAATTTTACACAATGATATTTCTCAGCTTTCCTAGAATTGTATTACAAATTGACTTTGGCTAAGTAACACATATACACATTATTAAGTCTGTCAATCTGCTTATGAAATTAGGGGGAAGTGATGGTATGTCAATTAATATAGATCATCAACTTTTTATATTAAAGGGGGACTCCCGCATTTAAGAAATTGCTCTTCCATAAAGTTGGGGAATTCACAAAAGACAGAAAAAAAAGAAGTAAAAAGCAGAAAAGCCATAACTTTAGAATGTGTCTAGCCCAATCCTACGTTTCCCATAATGCAGCTTAATATGCAAATATTCAAGATATCATTACTGTCTTGGCCCTTGCAGATATTCTAATACTGCAGTTTTTTATGTTGTTATTTTTTAATGTTAATCATAAAATCTGTAAGGCATTTATAAAATAACAAAACATCTTGACAGGAAAATTATTTTAAAAAGGGTATCAAGCCATACTTGGCACATTTGAGCACATGTTTGATTGTTTCTGCAGAAGATACATTAAACGCCTCGCTTCTACATGTTTCTTTGCCCCGGGATGGAACATGTGAAATGCCACAGGTGGCTGCGGGCTGTGCGCCAACTTATCAGCAGGACTCCTTAGCTGGCAAGTTGTGGCTGTGATATTTACCTCAATTACCCAGCATGAAACTGAAGCAAATTATATGCAGATCATCATCTGTAAATAATAGATAGTGCTCTTCCCCATCGCGTAAATTAACCTCAGAAGCAAACATAAGACACATTTTTTCTCCATGGTTTTTAATATAGTAAACTTGGCAGTCATTTTTCTTTTATCTCCAGGCTAATTGGACTGCCATTGCACGGTGGCACATATTGGACGATGTTGTTAATTCCTCACTATTTCTGTCTTGTGTGGTTAGTCACTAGTTGTTACGGAGCGTGTTTTTCCCCATCAATAGTGCACTGATACTTTGCTGTAAATTAGATCCACCTTGCACCAAGCCCAAGGTCAAACACCTCACACAGGACTCTCACTTTGGATTCGTGCAATTTGATCTTGTCAAACAAAAGCACCACTTTCTTATTTCTAGCTTTCAGCGAGCTTTGTAGCCCTTCTATTACACAATTCAAGCTGTATGCGGTGCAGTTTGAAGAGGATTATGATTATATCAGACCTATTTACTATTGCATGTGGCTCTTGATGATACTTTGCACTCAGCTTATTACTTTCTCAATGAATAACAAATGAGTTGTCAAATAAAAAGCAAATAAACACAGGCGGAAGAGAAGCTGGTACGAATATTGTATTAGAACATGCGAAGTGAAAATAGGTTTTGGAAAAGCAAGCATTACATTCAAACATTAAGAGTGTACCTCTTTGAGCCTCTGATGCCCTCTCCCTCTCATCGTGCTCTCACAGAGGCATGTGGCGCCTTGCCTCCTCATCCAAACAAGGGGACAAATTACTTTAATTATGGAGTAATTGCAGGGTCTTCTGTTAATTAAATCTTTATCAGTTCAAGTAAGTGGATTTCTCCCACATGGAAACCATGCAGAGACGTGCTGTCTTACTCCCCCTCCTGCTCCTCTCTAAATTCTCCACCAGCACCAGTCTGAGGCCGTCTTTTATTCACACTCTCACCCATCCCTCTCTCACCCCTGGGTCCTGAAATGATTAGGATTAGCATCATTTGGGGTAGGGGGTTGTTTTACCCACTCTGTCAGTAGCCAGCTGTTTCTCTAAAATACCATAACAAACATGATAGCACCGGCGTGAGGCAACGTCCTCCGCTGGAAAATTAGATACATGATTTATCTGAGGTTCCTGGTGTTTGACAAAATTGAATCCTCTCATTTTAATTGCTCTCGACTAGGTGTGCTGCTCCAGGCGCTGGAAACAGGAGCTCTGTATGTTGTCCCTTGTTCTCTTCAGACTATTATGTTCCATTGTGCAAAATGCCGATTATGATTTTCTTTATCCTTGTCATCTATCTTATTTAGGATCATTTAGCTAGCCACATGTTACAAAGGAACAGCAGTCTGCCCTGTTATTACGTGTGTTTGAGTCCCCTGCTTCTTGTAATGAGAACAGGATCACAGAGGACAATTAATCTCTCTGAAGACTTATCCACTGAAGAAAATACTGGGAAATTTACTTGTTTTGTTGATTTTCGCCAGCCCAGCATTTGATCCAAGGTGTGGAATATTAACACAAACACTTGTCATGTGTCTGGCAGCTTTCACTTGACAGTGTCTGCCCAGAATATTGCTCCACAGGTTTCGCAGTAACAGGAGACAGTGACACATTTGACACAGACAGTGTACGTCATTTCAGATTGTGCCTCAAATGTGTGATCTGTTGCTAAATTGCTTAATGTTAAACCCTTTTAACCTACGGAAAGTCTGGGCCTGTGTCACACATGCACAAATACCACAGCGTTTGATCTTTTAACATCTATAGAATGTGAATTTTGGCTTGTGGACAATCTCAGTGAGCTACTGTTTAGCAGTGTGAATGTTTATGGGGCAATGAATTGGGTGTAATGTGGCTGTGAAGCAGATTCAAAAAGGCTTAACTGGATTACAACTAATTTCAAGGATGCTTAAGGTAAGATTAAAACAGATATGTGGTAAGTGAGGAAAATACAAAATCAAATAGATTGAATTTCACTCACTGGTCTCATACTAGCTCATGCATGGCTACCCTGTGTGCATTTGTGAGGCACGCGTAACAAAATCAGATGCAGCTTTGTGTGAGACAATATGTAGATTGTATAAACGCTTCAGCAAAGGAAACATTTGCACATTTTCAAACAACAGTTTTGCTCTGTTGGACCGTCACAATTCAGCAATAATGCCCTTTCTTATCTCATGCTACAAATCCCCAGAGCTGGAACATTAGAAGTCTCTAATCACACACACTGGCACACATTGGGTGTGTGTACATGCACTCTAGCCCCACTCTCACACGCACACACACACATACAGAAAATCACACATCCCACATAAAAAAGATAATGAATTTAATACCACTGCTATTACAGTCAACTAATGTTTGTTAATAGCCTGGTGCCATATGGAACGAGGGCCACAACCATGTGGGTAATTCCTCTTTTTGGACAAGCTGTCAATAAAAAGGCCTTGCATTTTATGGATGCATATGGTAGAGGGGGGGTGCTTAATCCAGCAGACTCTCTAATGATTCCTCTGTGCCTCGAATGGGAGCTACAGGCCTCTGTGAATGTACTCGCAGCTGTGTTTTATCTCTCCAATCAGAACTGAAATACGTGTTCCATTTAGCATTTGTGCATACGCTGCTCAGTATGGCTCGGTGTGAGACTTTGGTTTTCTCTGTGGTGGGGGGGTAATGGAAGTGCATGGTTTTAGAGAGAAAACTTTATGACGTGCCTTATTACACCCCCAACCCCCCTTCCCCACTCCAATCCACCACCACCTCCCAAAAACTCACTCCATCTCCTCCCCATATCCCTCTGGCAGTACTGCAGCCCAGCGGATAACCAAGCGTGGATTAGCAGTGACATCACACTGAAGAGATGGCTGAGCCCGAGTGTGAGGAAGGGTGAGTACTTGGGGTGCATGTGTGTGTGTGTGTGTGTGTGTGTGTGTGTGTGTGTGTGTGTGTGTGTCAAATGGGTGTGAGCGTTATGTGTGTGTTCAAGACTGATTAGACGATGAGGGTGGTGGTGAGAGGGAAGCGAGGATTAGAGAGCCATCCGAGAGTTGGCTAGGTGCTGACACCACTCCACCTCACCAAGGGCTCAATTTACTGAGGGATCAGACTCATTTACGGTGGGCTGGGATTATTATCAGTTCAATAGGGCAATTTCTTTATTACAGTCACCCTTCAACCTGTGAAATATGGACACTTGTTAGACATTTAGGGGTACATGTATCTTGTTTCAGTTTTCATCTACTGCTTACCTGCTTTATTGTGTTTTAGCAGCAGGTAAAATAACAGCTGGTGTATCATTGTGTTTAAATGAAGTTGAATCACTCTTCAATTTAAAGAGTGAAATCCATATATTTTTTGTGCTGGCTGTGAACCACAAAAAACAGACTTTTTTATTTTCATGAAAAGGCTATAGCCACAATAAAACATAAGAATGTCAGACAGTCCATCTATAATTCTTCAACTCCTGGGAGTTTAAAGAGGGCTATAGTGACTATGTCTTACTTTTTTTTCTTTGAATGCTCCAAATTGGATGAGACAGGCAACTATGTTTGAGTTTGGGTTTACCTGTAATGTCAACACTCTTAAGATGTCCCTCTGTATTGAACCCCTTATAAAGCATTGAGCATCATTCACCTGATTCTCCAAGAGAAGAAAATCGGTTGCGCCTGCATCTTCAAAAATATAACAAAAGTGAAGGGAGCGAACCACACATTTAGATGCAGACTTTAACCAAATGGGAAGGAAGTGGGGCCTGTGACATTGAGTCCAGTTTGTCCAATAGTCAAAAACTACAAAACCACTTCCACAGATCAATTTGAGATATAAAAAAGGTATGAATGGAAATTCATGTTTGACCTTGGAAACAGCTCCTGTCAAAAATCTATCTCACCACAGGGTCCATTCAGTAGCTGTTTTGAGGCTTTACAAAATGGCTTGATCTTCCAAAATGTCCATTCCTCTGTGTAATTTAAGGACTTGTTGACATCCATAAACGCTACACAAAGTGTCATTTAATGTTAGTTATTTTCATAGTACTTGTTTAGAGGTGCAGACCCTCTCAGCCATGTGATGAGAGAGGTCTCAGCTCTTCACGTGTTCTGAGTTAGTTAGTGTACCAGCAAGTAAAGAAATTGGGATTTCCATGATTGTATAAAGGAAACGTATTTTTACAAGCAACACACCCGAGGAAAAACACAACGATCTTCCACCGCCACATCGAACATAAAGCATCCAGTTCATGAAAAATCACAACTTTAATGAATGCTGTATCTTTAAATAATTGCGCGTCGGGTAGTATCGCGAGATTGCCCCCTGTTCACGGGAAGTGGGTTGCTTCTTCCCGGGAAGAAAAACAATTCAATTTAGCTTTAGCCCAGTGTCCAGCCTCTCCAATAAAACTGTCGAGTTAGGGCTTTATTTGGTGTAATATTAACTTAACTTCATCTTTATAATAACTTCGGTTTAAGGTGGCTGGTAGCTTACAGTTCTATTTGCAGTCCCAAGTTCCGAAATATATTTATGCCACCGTTAGCTAGCTCAACATTAGCAGTTGTTTGAAAACTATCTGTATTCATCCAGAGAAAATGTCAACGGAGCAGAGGACGAGCTGGATACTGACAGGAGCTACGGTCGCCTGTGTCACAGCTCTCTATGTGCCCTGTGTGCAGAGGACTGTCCCCGGTGGAGACTCAGGTTGGTGCTAGCCTGCTAGCTAATGCTCCTTTCTGGTCACGTGGCTTTGTTGTGTTGCCCGGCAGCCAATAGTGTAGCGTCATTGATGGTCTAGCTGTTACAGCTGATCGGGTGCTGTCCGTGGTGCTGCACGTGACATAACAAAACTAGTTTAAAACATCATACATAAACATTAATATAATGGTTATGAAATACGCATATGTTTGACGTAAGACGTGTAAGACATAGCCTAAAATGCATTTATTATTTAGATTTTTTAGATTTGATTTGATTTATTTCGAATGTGTAAAACAATAATACAAACATTTAACATGATAATTATTATACAATACAAAAATAAGCAGTGTCAAATTGATATACAAAAATATTAACTCTAAACAACTCTAAAATAGGCCATTCCTTGAGACTTCAATTACATACGTTGTATCAACTTTTGCACATGTTTCCGTATTATGGGGAATGGTTTTGGATAATTGTTCTATTGTTGTTCCAGTCTTTGTCTTTATTGGCCAGACAGAAAATTGCTGTATGCAACTTAGTTAACTTATTATTATATAAATGACTCTGAAAGGGTTCTGAAATATACCATGTAACTTTTTTTATGGAAAAATATATGATAAGATTTCTTTAAAACCTAAAAATTGTAATTATACTTTTGATGTCAGGATAAAAATAATGTATTTTGAGCTGTGGAGTTACATGAGTTTATAATAAGAAATGATCATGATATAACGCTTATCTTCTAACCCACACCGAATTGAGCAAGCATTTGTTATTCATCAAGTTATTCTAAAATGATTCACTTTGTCAAAAGTTCAACCTCTCATATCGCCAATACTTGTTTTTTTAACTGACTTTGGCCCAATTCTCTGTTCTTTATTTATGATTCTAACTTTACTGCCATTAATCACAAGTATTGTTGACGGGTTGATTGGTTAAAATTAATATTATGCGGGTATGCATCGATTTAATTTGCATTCTTTGTAACCAACCTTAACAGTGATACCAAATTGTATTTCACTCACTACATTTCTATGTTGTAGGCCAACATGTTTTCCAACATTCATGTAATGTAGTTTATGGACTGCCTTGCAAAATTGCAAACAGTGTTTAGAAGTGATAGCAAGGTTACAAACTTGTAAATGTGGACTTGAGGGCATGAAGGCTCTGCTTGTTAGTTTTGCGCTGCTCTGGCATTCAAGCTGCTGTGGAGGGGAATGCACATTTAGCAGAATGAAAGCATGTGAAAAGCTCGCCCAGATACGAGGAGAGAGCAGGCAATTGGAGCGCTGAGTAGATCCTGCTGGTGTTGCTGCTGTCTGGCGAACGGGGCCTTTGAAAAAATGGCCAGCCCCTTCTCCACAGTGTTTAGGGACCGTGCAGGATGCCCGCTCTGATAGTGCCAGCTGAACACCCTTTCGAATTCTGCAGGTCTCCGTCTCTGTGTCCTAATCTCTTTAGGTGTGATGTGCCCTGGAGAGGCTTGAGCACAGCCCCGCGGGTACGCTGTTGTCTAGGAATGTGGAGTGTGGAAATGACGGGGATTATGGGAAGACTGGTGTGGGTGCCCATGCTCCACTATCACAAAGACTCTTGGCACCCATGCTGCTACCCCGTTGAGTCAATATTTTCCCTTTTTAGTATTGGGGCTACAGAACTGCATCCCTGTGCCACTGAGATGGATGTTTTTGGCTCAGTATTAGTTTGAGTGTTTCCTGTGTGTAATGGCGTAAAAGTGTGCCACTACTGAGGGGAAATAAGTGAAATTGGGACGGAAAAGTGTGATGTAAAATGATGGCAGGTAGCAGGCGGCTCATGCCAGGTGAAATGGAGCTGAGGAAATGTTTAAGCTGTGCAGGTGGAGGAGTTCTGACTTCATGGTCCATTAGCGTGATAAGAGATGGGACTCCTCATGTGGCAGAAATGTAGGCGTAGTAATTCACTTTATCGGTGAGGTTGTAAAATCCCTGCTGCAGCCAATGCCATCTGAAACTCAGCCGTTCTGTTCTATAATGGTTACATGTCCTGTATATAAATGTATATTTAAAATACCCACCTCTACTCTGTTGCTGTTTTTGATGTTTAATTTAATACTATTAAAAAACGAATGTAATTAGTTTCCTAGATATGTAGCTTGTTTGCTAGTAACGCTGTAGACTGACTAACCTCACAGTGCTGATGAAGGAAACAAGGTCTCAGCTTTATGGCTGTACTGGAATCAGGCAATGACTACCCATCTAGTACCAGTAGATGGAGCTGTCTTGAACCGACACATTTATCAATGTCATTTCATCTGAACCAAATTTCAATTTTCTTGAGTGGGAGATGCAAACATAGGGTGAGAAATCAGTATAATTTGAAATGCTCTGGCACAAATGTGTTTGTGCCAGGATACATTCAAGCTTCCTAAAATAGCTTTTAGGGGTTTTCTTATTTTTACAGCTTACCTCATTCTGTGTCTGTCACCAACGTTGCCTTTCTGTTTGTGCCCAACGGACTGAAGGAGACATTGAGGCGTTGGGAGTGTGGGAGTGGGAGAGAAGCACGTAGAGCGGTGTAAGAAAGAGGAAAGGGAAAGGACCCTGATGCATGGGGAGGAAGGGACTGGAAGCATCATTCTCAGATCAGCATATGTGTGTCTTTGTGTGACAGAGCATTGGAGAGGGAGTCTAATGGTTTGTGTGTGTGTGTGTGTGTGTTTTTGTATCCGGGTGTATGTGCCGGAGACGGGGAGGGAGGCATCAGGGGAGAAGCGAGAGATGAAGAGAATGAGCGTGCCGCTTAGGAAATGTCACACTGGGAAGATTTGTAGGTTTTGATCCTGGCAAATTAATGCAAAACCCCAGTGCAAGTATTTGATTTGGGAAAACTTTGGGAGCAGACTAGTCTCTTAATAATAATGATTGGGTTTACATTAATTTCCTCCCTTATTCTCTTCCACAGGAGAGCTGATCACCAGTGCTTGTGAGCTGGGGGTAAGTATTAGCTGTATTGTTTAATCAATCCACTCATTAACTCTTATACTCATTAAGGAAGTTTAATTAAGCATGGGCAGAAAGCAGATTAATTTACTTTCAGTCCACAGGTTTTCCCCCTTCTTTTCTATGCACTTATTTTACTAAGTTGCAAGTAGAGAATGCTATAATTTGCAACCCGTTTTTCAAATCCAATTAAAGTCAATGGTAAGGCGATGGCTTTTGTAGGCTTTGCCTTATGTACGGTATAAGGCTTATTATATCCACCCCTCTTTTTTGTGTGTGTGTGTAAGCCGCGAAGAATGAACTAAATCGGGTTAACAGTTATAATAAGTTTTATTATTTAATAAAGTTTATTACGCCGCTGTGATCCTTTTAGGGAGGCTGTGTCGGTGTCACTATGCCAGTAATCCTGCTGTTAGTGCTGCAGTCCGTGTGGCCTGCCTGCCTTTCAGGCCTCCCCAGGGCCTCGGAGGCCGTCCCCGGGCCCCAGGCTGCGGCCCCCCCTTCTGATCCCCAGAGCATCAGAGTTCTGCTTCCCCATGCTCCCTGCAGCTTTTGTCCCTCAGCTGTCCTATTGCTGTATGTCTCTCCACTCCTGTTGGACCAATAGTCCTTCCTCCACATGCCCTTACCTTAATTGACACCCATCTGACACCAACACTAAGACCACCAGGATGTCTGCTCATCTTTTTGTCGTTCTTTTATTCTCTATATTACTTCTTCTCTTTTTCCTTTTGACTTCTCCTGACCTACATTCTTTACTCCCAACCCCTCCCTCTGATTTGGGTGGAAACAATTCTACCCAAATCAGAGGGAAATAGTTGTGGATTGATGTGGAGTCTCTGCAGTATCTGAGGTGACCGACGAGGTATAGTCGTACTCTCACCTTTCAGCTCTGTGCTCCTTTGAAGAGCTGCCCCCTTCTCCATGCCTGCCTGCCTCGTGTTATCAGTGCCAGGGAATGAGTCTGTGTTTAATGACTGAGCCCTTATCTGGGTGGAGGAGACTAAGCGGCTAATTGCTGTGATTGCCAAGATCCCCCAGGCGAGAATGACTTCGGCTCGGAGGTGGTTTGGGGGCTGGGGCTGGGGCTGGCGAGCACCACGTGGTCTACCACCGGCTCTAGGGAGCAGCACTGTCCTTGGGTAGAGGCCATCGGAAAAGAAGTGAGAAAAGGGAGGAAGAGAGGGAGGAAGAGAGGGAGAGGATGGCTCTGGTATCAATGCAGAGTCAGTTTTCGGTCAAGCAGGAAGTGTCTTGCTTTTCCATCACAGTTTCTCTACAGCACTCGACTACTGGCAGAGGGCAGAAGAGCAACTCGACTTCCCAGTCAGTCAGAGGGGGATCATGCAAATAACAAATCTTTACTGCTACACTCTTCCTGATGACCTTGTATATTCTGACTATGACTTTAGTTTCCTTGCTTATTTCATCATTTGTATGTTTGTTGTAGTCTACTAGAATAGACATACACCCGTGTCCTGTCTGAAATATGTGGGTGTAGACTGTATGTAATGTTATGCCTTATTGATATCTTAATGTGTGCGTATATGTATATATGTGTCTAAATATATGTATGAGTATTTATGTGTGTATATACAAGTGGGTGTTCAGGTGTGTATGTTTGAATACATACATATAGGTATACTGCGTTTCGATCTCTGTTTGTATCACACACAGAGAAATAGACAATAAAGTTGACTTTGACTCTGTTTTCCGCCTTCCTACTGACATCACATCTTAAATAACAAATCTGCACCTCTTAAGCATTCTAGCCTGCCATCCTCACAAGCCCATCTTAAATGAAGCATTACCTTGTTGTTCTCTTTAATCTGTGACTTTGTCTCTTAATGGTCTTGAGGTTTTGATTTCATACTTTGTCATTTGGTTCTTAGGTGGCCCACCCTCCAGGATACCCTGTCTTTACCCTACTAGCTCGCCTGGCCATGTGTCTCCTGCCCTCCCTCTCTCCCGCCCACAGTGTGAACCTGATGAGCGGCCTGCTGGGGGCCGCAGCCTGTGGGGCCCTCTGCATTACTGTCTGCAGGTAGGCTCATGAAATATAGAAGTCATTTCTTTGTTGTCCCTGTATTCTGTGATTACTGTGCTTTTATTTCAAGGAATGGGCTTCAAAATAATATCCAGATAGGCCATTTTAGCTGGTGTAGCTTGCACTAAAAGTAGTAGAAGATGGGATTTCTCAAAATCGTACTTGTGTGTTTGTCTAAAACTTGGATTTCCGACAATCTTTCCCGTTAAGTCAAAGAATGTGACAGCAGCTATCTAGTGACAAACACTGCATATGCATCAATCTGTATTGCAAAAGTCAAACACCCAAGGGAAAGAAACAATGACAAAACCACATGTTTGGAGTTCAAGCGGCCATCTGACAGTCCCTTACTGACGTTTTGCATTTCGATGCTGTCTGGAACTGAGCAGTATTTTTGGGTCCTGACAGACTGGCAGTGTCGTCTCTGATCCTCTGTTCAGTATTCAGGAGCAGAGCCCGCCGCACTCCCCCCTCCCACCACCCTGCCCTGCCTGTTTACCCATCAGCCACCCGTTGTGAGCGTGCGTGTGTGTATGTATATCACAATTATCACGCCCTCCAGCCCCCACACTGACAACCCAGTTCTCCTGCCCCCCCACTGCCCAGCATGCTCCCAATCCTGACATGGCACGATTTCTTATCTCCCCCTTCTTGCCTCCTGGGTCCGAGAGGAACACTCTGCTCCTCCCTCTCCCCTCGCTCAGTCTTGATCACAGTTTACGCTCCCTGCATTGCATCTACCACCCTGCAGTTTCGTCTGCTGCTGACCCTATCATGTAAGAAGTATTTTACCACTTCCCTCTTTGTGTGTGTGTTTATCTCCCGTGGTTGGCTGCACTACCTTACATCATCCTTTTGCTGATCTAAGTCATTTCCCACATTGCATTGTTGGGGGCAGCTTAGTGTCAACATTTTTCCTTTATGTCACTTTTTATGCATACTGGGTCATTTCCAAGCATGTCACATACTCCTAATTTACTCTTCCAGAATAGGAATTGTTGAATATGATGTAATTTCGTCCTGCTGCACGCCTTTGCAGCCTGTGAGTACATAGTGTTGGTGGGGGAAATTCAGGTGAAAATGGAGGTGTGTGTTCCCAGGTGCTCAGCACTGGGCCTACTTCCTGTGTGTTTGGGCAGTGTGTGCTAGGTGGCAGGTGGTCCAGCGTAGGTCATGGTGCAGGGTCAGCCCTGCTGCAGAAGGGCAGGGGGTGGGAGGAAGTGCTCTCTAGGGGACTGGCCCTCAGCCCAGACTGCATCAGCCTTACACCCTGCCTCGCTTTACTCCTTTTCAGAGGTGATTTACCCAAATCCAAAACTTGCCAGCTTCAAAGACTCTCCCCAGGACAGGACAGAAAACAAATTAAGAGATGAGAACAAGAAAGGGGAGGAACACCTTTGCATCATTGTTTTTTTTGGATTTGTAATCCATACTGTCCCACTGTCTTAATATATGTGATGACTTACCAGTCAATTGGACTGTTGGCCAGACATTAACAGCCATTTTAAAGCCAGAACATATCCATGCAGTCTGGGTGATATTTGGCTAGCAGTGTGTATGTTAACTGAAGCCCTTTTTGTAATCTCTGAGGATTTAAATCCAATTTTGGATTATGGTCAAGTTAAAAGTCATTATGAGGACCCCCAACCCCACCCATTCCACAACATGGAATGATGGGTAGTGAGGACTTCAGCCAGAGCACACAGTCACACCATATAAGCCCTTAAGTATGAACGTATAATCTACGCTTTCAATTTGAAAAATAAGCATAAAAGGTTTTAGTCATTATCTGTTTAGGGCCTAGTTTGGGATGAGCTTGTGGCTTTGGATCAGCTGGCAGACTCTGCCTGGTGAGGGGTTTCTGTAAAGGCCCTGCTTTGACCAAACCAAGACATCTGGCAAAGATGTCAAACCACAGCCATGCAGCGACTCTATGACCAGTCCTTTCCCTCAGATGAAATGCCAAAACTGACCAGTTAACACCGGTTCGGTCGCACCTGCTCTGTCCTTGCAGTGACCATGATGCCAGTCTTTTCGCCAACATAATAAAGTTCTCAGATTTGTCTAGTTTTTGTCCCTTTTTAGGCCCTCCTAAACTTTTCACTACTTCTTATTTTTAGGCTTTTATTGGCTGAGAAATAGACTTCCTCTCCAAAACAAATCATTGCTTTGTGTGATTATTTTCATATGGCAAAATGTATTGGAAGTTAATACGGGTACTTGAAGGCAGTTTCTCTCAAATAGTAAATTGTAAGACCTTGAAATTCATCTGGAGTATACCCAACATGGCAGGCCTTTGATGTATCAATTTAAATTAGTCGGCCAGATTGCCGTGTTTAATGTGGGGGAATGTAAGATGATGGGCTTGGAAGCCACTTCTCTCTCTTGCATAAGTTAAAATGTAGCACTTAGCCTCCCTTTGATTTGTCAATTACAGTTCTCTTGGCTTGATCATATGGTTTGATGGCCAAATTGCATGTCTTGTTATGTTTTCACACCACGGCCTGACAAGCCTTTGAGGATGGTGGATGTAATGATAATTACTATCGATTGCACTCCGAGGTTCACAGAAAGAAACGTTTTGCGGTATGCTGAAGGCCTCAGCCATGAGTCTCTGGAGGAATGCACCCTTCATAGCAGGATAATCCAGACAGCTCGGTATTCTGTGCTCTCTCGTTTCACAGTTTATCTGCTAAAGCTGCTCTGAATCTCTGCTACCTGGGAGGAATCTCTCTCCATTTTCGGGGCTTATCCTGAGAGACCAGGAGCAGACACGTTAGCGCACTGACAGTCATCAGAGCACAAAAACAACCTCCAACGCTCCGTCATCAGCACTTTCTGTTTGATCACAAGATTACATAACAGCACGGCTGAAGCGCACCAAACTTGCCCGGCCTCCCCTTTCCCTGGCGGCCATCAAAACAAAATGCACACCTGCGAGAGGCTTCCCCGCCAAGAGCTGGCCCATGTGGCACAGCTGACACCTCAGTGGACCTGAGGGTGGGCGTGGTGCCATCCCCTGCGTCCCCAGCTCCTTATAAGGACCTCCACCATATGGTCCTCATGGCGCCTTTCCTCCTTGCTCAGGTGGGTTGTTTTTCCACTGGGCTGAAATGGCATGTTTCTTGTTGGGTTCATGTCAGGAGAGATATGTGAGGAGATGGTTGTTTTGCAGCCATCTTGTTTTGAGGTTAATATTGATTACTAGAAAACAGCTGAAATTGAGTTGTGTTGTTGGATACTGTTGTCACCTCTCCCTGCGGGTGGGACAGCTGCCCCTCCCTCTCACATCTGCTATGCCCAGATAAAATCTTCCCAAGTGTCAATCGAGAATACAGCCATTACTATTTTCTCCTGAAAGTGCAGAAGACCATTTTAAGTTTGTCTTTTTAGAAGGCTCCAATCTCTGGACCTTTTGTTCCATTCCTGCAGTATCTCATCCGTCATATTGTAGTCCGATAGACCTCCCTTACTCCACCCCCCCCCATCCTCAGCATGACCAATGATTCCCCCAGGACTCATCCTTAATACAGTTAAACAGATGTCTAATGAAGATGTTATTTCCTCATTACTGGCTATGGGATGGAGAGAAGGAGGAGGAGGGAGGGTAGATAGACAGCAGAATACAGTACCAGTTTAATATTCCTTTCGCCCGTGGGCCCGAGATTGTGTCTGCCTCGGACGTCAATATTACATTCCTCAGCCACCACAGGCAGTCTTAATAAGGCACCATGCACGGAGACAGATCAGACTCGGCAATTACAATTCACCCAGAATTAGCTAATGGAATCTATGCAGCTACATTTATATATCACTGGTGTGTGCCTAATGACTTTGTGGGGAAAAAGCAGCTATGAAAATGGCATTTAGTGAATTGCATAAACACAGGATTTTTGTAAATAGTTTTTTCCCTCTTCCTGTAATTTTTGTGCTGGGTGGAGATTAAGATGGCATTCTGGAAGAAATTGTCATGTCAGTGGCTGCATTGTTTGAGCAGAATTGTGGTGATTAATTTTACACGCACTTGGAGCACTGGAGCTCTCTCCCGGAGGGGGGGTGTGTGTGTATGAGCGGCAGCTCCGGGACCCTCATTTACCCTCCTCTCTGTTCGAGCAGGCTGCTTCCTTTTCGCACACCGGATAAGGCAGAGGAGACACGGAAGTGCCTGGCTTGGTGATGGAAAATTAAGCTGTGGCTTCCCTGATTCCAATATACTGTTTTGAAAGTTGATTATAAAAAGGATTAGAACCAGACAATACTGAAAGAATGACATAATATGTAGTATTTTTAACTTAGTATTAATAATGTGACAATTTGGCGATGATTATTGGTTATTTTGGATAAATCATTTTCAAAAAGGAGACTTAAAGAAAGTAGTAAAGGCATTCATTGGTTATTGGGTGTTCAGATACAACATCCTAGCAAGTTAAACATGTCATGTAATGATATCAATTATATATTAAAAAAGCCTGTGTTGATATAAGCAAGAATTTACAAATTGATATAAAAGTAGATTTGATCTCACACTGCGATGCTCTTAATGCAGAATTAAACCATAAACATAGGTTTTTAGTCTTTAATAATATTTTGCTTCATATTAATTGAATAGGCCACTGATGCATTTGTGTTACACTTCCATTAAATAAGGGCACTAACAAGAGAAGAATTGCACAAAAAAAAGGCCAGAAGTCAAAATCCTCTTTCATTCAACTTTTCCCTACCTTATAAATGTAGACGTCTGACCGTCCATCCCCGGATTTAGATACACAGGCTTTATAGAAAACTCCAAGCTATAATGAGGAGAAAGTCATCAAGGTAATTATTTTCAAACAAAAGACATTGTATATCTGCTTTTACAGACTGAATGGTGCTCTGTCTAAAAGGAACTAGGAGTGCAAGTTGGTGTTCAGTGAACATGTATTTTTAGATAAAACATGACCATACTCTAATGAGATACTTCCACTATTCCAGTATTTGTTTTCCTGACACATACACCGTACACATCATTCAAATTCCTACATTTGTATATCAATTCTCGCTTGGCTTCTACATTTCAAAGCAGTGTATGAGACACTTACTGTCCTATAACAGCTGCTAAGTACCCTGCCTGGCGTCCTGGCCAGAGGAGAGCCCTGGGGTGTCAGCGAGGGCCAGCTGGAAGCCTCCATCTCAGCCCGAGCAGACCACCTCCTCTCTCGGGTCTCTATCCCTCTTCAGGAATGTGTGATTCTTTTCCAGCGCCGCTTCCCCAAACCACCACACGGTTAGAGAACAGTGCCGCTCTGATCCGCGATGGCACAGCTGTGGTATTGTCCGTTCCCTCGGGTGGTGTGTGACAGTGGCTCCCTCGGCCAGCTCCATTGTGAAGCCTCATTCAGCGCAGAGTGCTGGTAAAGGGTTTTTGTGTGCTGTTATTTAACACTGGTGCTGGCACGTCTCCGACCCATACTGTAGAACTGAGGGGGTATATGAAGCAGGTCCCATTCTGACACTTCAAAGTGATTTTACCGAGCTTTTGTTGTGTCCTTGAAGGGGGCATTGCTTACCAGAGCCTGTTGTCATTTTCATCCATTTGCTATTTATTTACCTTTTGATCCTACTGTCTGAACCTGAGTTTAGAACAGATATCAAATATTTATAAATTCAACCAACAAGTATTTTATCTACATTCCTTATGTATATTTTCCTAGATAAGACATTGTTTTTTTTTGTAAATATCTCAATAGTTTTTCTCAGTTTTTTTTCCACAAAAGCAAGTGATACAAAGCATGTACGTTCGGTTCAAATTCACAAAATAATGGTATATACAGCACATGCTGATGACTCAAAATCTCCATTTCTATCCCGATAAAGTTGAATTATTGATGATTTCCTTTTCTAACCACTTGCATTTAGCTTTGCTTCATTCGAGGCACATGCTGTTTGTCATTCAGTTAATTACCCAAGTGATGACACAGACGTTTTGGCAGGGGGGATCAGTTCAGGGTAGAATAGTCTCGCTGTCAGCCGTGTGATTCTCCTGACACGTCTCAACCAGGCCATTGTCACTGAGCCACAACATTTCAGCACAGCGGCATCCTGCACCGCATTGAGTGGTGATAACGGGGAACACGGCCACACTGGTGTCAGAATGTGTCCTGCTTTATCTGCTCGCCCTGGGAGCAGCCAGCCCGCAGAATGAGCTGTGGAGAGGCTGGGAGGCTGACTGGGACCCAGGTGGTCCCGCGCAGACAGACAGGTCATTTACAGCCCGCACTGTACAAACATCACTGGGCTCTTACGGACTGACAAGCTCTCACAGAGAGATTTGTCAGGCACTTGGGGAGAATAAAGAAGTTGAAGAACAGGAGTGTGTGTGTGTGTGTGTGTGTGTGTGTGTGTGTGTGTGTGTGTGTGTGTGTGTGTGTGTGTGTGTGTGTGTGTGTGTGGGGCAGCGCTAGCCAGCGTCCGGCCACAAGAGAGTGTGTGTGTGTGTGTGTGTGTGTGTGTGTGTGTGTGTGTGTGTGTGTGTGTGTGTGTGTGTGTGTGTGTGTGTGTGTGTGTGTGTGTGTGTGTGTGTGTGTGGAGCGCTGCCTGACTATCCGAGGCGGCTTCAAAGGCTGGGACAGACTTGGTGTAATCACCTCGTCCGTGGACCCCCACCACCGTTCTGCGCCCAGTGCTGCCCCAAAATCTGCCCCCCTGCTAGGTGTACGAGCTATGGGTTAATTGTCATGCAGGGTGGTAAAAGTATGGGTGCGGGGGGTCTCTGCACCTCAACAAAAGTCCCCATCTGCCCCCCTCCACCCCACCCTTTTTCATCCTTCCTTCAAGTTACAACTAATTCCTGGAGCGGTGCAGCGAGAAAGACGCTGCTATCTCTTATTAAGACCCACTCCTAGACACCCCATCAATACAGTCCCGCCCCCCCCCCACTCCTTTAAGTGCACACACACACATATACATCCTCATTCACCGGGCTCGCCTTACACTGAACACAGAGGGAAAATAGTGGAGAGAAGGAGAGAGAAAACCCAAGGAAAAAGGGGAAGTAGTCAGCAAGCATGAGTCTTTTTTTTTCTACTCTCGCTCTCCCTCTCCTTTTTTTCCTGATTTACCGCGCTTTCCTCAGAAAGCTCTATTGTTCCCCTAGCCTAAGTCTCATCAGGCCTTTTGTGGCTGACTATCACAGCGGCAGGCAGAGAGCTGGAAATGTATAAATGGTATCATGCCTTGTGATTAATGGCGGTGCTTATGAGTCAGGTCTGATAACGGGCCTGCTCTCTACTCAATTTCAGATACCGTTAATGGAATCTGTCTTCTGCGATTGTAATGTGAGAGCGCCTAATTTGCTATGGAGCTTGAAGCTGTCACCGGCAAGGGATTGTGGGGTCATAAGGGACCTGGCAGCCGTTTGGCCTGCAGCTTGTATCTGCGGTGCTGAATAGAGCAGCTCTCTGCCTGTCAGTTAGCTGATAGGCTGATGAGGACTCTAAGCCACTCCACACAATGGCGGAAAGGGCCATACTGCCTGACTTCCCTAATTGTCGAGCCTGCTCATGTTTCAGAGCCAGCATGCCGGGGACTGGGCCGCTTTCTTTTTTCTCCTTTCTCTTTTACCCCTCTCTCTTCTTGAACTTTTTTTCTTCCCTTTTCTATATTTCATCCTTTATCCCGCACACTGTCTCACCCCTTTAACACACACTCCTCTGCACTATTTTTCTTTTCTTTTCCTTCTCCCCATCATTTGTCGCCGCTCCCTCTCCCCCCTCTGTCTCTCATTTTAGTAAGTGGTGGGTCTTAGCGTATGACAGATTATCCCAAGTTTGCTTCAATTACCGCAAAGGAGATGGAGACAGTACAGGAGAGGAGGAAGGGAAAACTTTTGTGCGCACATTATATTTAAGAAGCTGAGGATAAAGTGCTATCTCTACCTCTGTGGTTTCTGTGCCAGTCTGCTCCAGATCAACCGGCTGCGGGGGGGGGGACTTCTCATGATATGTGAATGGCCCAATTCACTGGGTGTTTTTCAAGGTCTTGTCCGAGAACCAAACTTTGGTATAGGGAAGATTATAATGGGTCCCTAAATTAATCTGGGCACAGTGGTGGCTTTTCACTGTAAATGTAAATTTTGTGTGAAGCTGCCGACTGTATCACCTTCATTGTGTCAGTGCAGTGCAACTTAGCTCAAATAAAACACTTGAAGTTCTGTACTTTTTTTAAAGTGACGAAGAACAATAAGTAAAGCTTGCATTTGTATACCTGAATATTACGTGTCTGATTATAAAGTCCTGTCCTCCCTCCCTCCCTGCCAGGTTAGCGGGCCCCGGCCCCGGAGCAGTGCTCGCTGGGGGGCTCTTCGCTGTGTCCCGGCTGAGCTGGCAGTGGTCCATGGTGGCAGAGGTCTTCACCCTCAACAACTTCTTTGTTGGTGTGCTCTTCTTCTTGACCGCCAGCCTCCAGTGTGCAGAAAATGCCACCCAGAGAGCAAAGGTACCTCTTATTGGTGGTCTCTTGATTTTTCAATTTCCTCTGGTTACTCCTTAAAAGCTTTCTTAAATTAAACTTTTAAGTTGAACTTACAGTGGTTTTACTCAAATATTTGACCTCGTCAGATTGCACACTGGGGCGCACTATGCTGTGGCCTGGGACTCTGTAACCAGCACACCCTGGTGCTGTATGTACTGCTCATCATTCCCTGGGTCATTCATCGCCTTCACTCTCTTGGGGTAAGTTCTGGCCTCTGGTTTATAAAAGTAGAACAAATTCAGAATTAGAAAATCAGAATATTAAAACACTTTATTTATCCATGGGGGAAATAAAGTTGTGTGACATTTGCACAATTACAGAATAAAAGAAATACATATCTGTATTTATTTATTATTTACCTTATTCTAATTGTGTGTTAAAGAAACATCAAGACAGGCAAGAAAAGGATGATTGTAAACATACTGTACAGTCTTGTTGACATCCCACTTGCCTTACTGTAAATTCAATATCAAGTCATGTGTCTTAATGAAAAGTTAAATTGAAGTTTCTTGAGAAGCCACTTTTTTTTAATGTGGTCCTAACTGTAAAAAAATGTAATACATCTCTCTCCAAACTACTTCAACAGGAGCTTTCTTTACGTGGCCTTGTGTCTCTGGGAGTGTGTTTCCTGGCAGGCCTCCTGCCGTACATCTACCTGCCCGTCTCCTCCTACATCAACACCGCCCGCTGGAGCTGGGGGGATCAGACCACCCTGTCAGGCCTGCTGACCCACCTGCTGAGGGCTGAATATGGCACCTTCAGTCTGGTATGTGATTCTTGTCTCATTTAACAAAACACACTTCTCTAGATGTTATTTTTATACATGCGCCACCAGTCGATTTACGTTTCTGCTGCAGGGACATTTTGACCTTGTATACTAATTATTTTCATTGTATTCTTTTTGTGTTCGCAGGCAAAGACAGAGAGTTCTGTGAGCCTGACCTCAATGCTTAAGTGAGTCTGTTTTTTTAAAATTAAATGCTTAAACATTTTAATTACTGAACATATGTTAATTTCAACATTTCAACTTTGTTTACTGAGGAAACTTCACTTTAAACATGGGTTAACAACTCACATTTTCAGACAGTCTTCGCTGCAAGGCTCATGGTGTGAGGAATTCAGAAAGTTGGAAGGAACATTACTGATGAAGTGTACTGGATGTTTATTCAGTGTCAACAAAACCTTCATGTTCTGTGTTTACTTACTCAATGAATTCTTCTGAAGTAGGAAAGAAACAATGGAGAAAACTATGGTGATTTGATATGGGGCTCAGTGAGGACTCACCTGGTTCTACCATTGGAGGACCTAACCACGTTTTGCGCTGGTCCTGGTGTTTTCACACAGGTTCAATCAAAGACCCTGTAATCTGTTCTGGGAGTCATTTCTTCTGCCCATCTCTCCTTCTTCCTCTTCCTCTCCCCAGCAGCTTTTGTTCTTCCCATTCCCCTCTCTCCCATCAAAGCAGAACTGAACCTGCTTAGAGGGCCAAATCGCTGTGTTCTGTTTCTCCAGCAGTTTGAAATGATCACTCAGCTCTGGTGTTTAAGCGTGACAAGCTGTGATGACAGACACTGCAATAGAGCTGGAGAAATTGTATTTTTCCACTCCAGCAAACCCCCACCCCCCCCACCACCACCTCCACCCGATTCCCCCCCCTGCTCC